GTCGAGGGCGGAGAGGTTGGCGTCGAGGGCGGAGAGGTTGGCGTCGAGGGCGGAGAGGTTGGCGTCGAGGGCGGAGAGGTTGGCGTCGAGGGCGGAGAGGTTGGCGTCGAGGGCGGATTGGTCTGGGGATGAGGGGGAGGGGGAGGGGGATGATCGGACTGTTCGCGGGGAGGATGGTGAGTTTTTGGGGGAGGTGAGAAGGTGTGGTGGGGAGGTGAGTTGGTGTGTTATCATGACTTACGGACGGCTATCACGCCGATGCTGGGGTTCTCTAGCTGGCGGCCAAAGAAGACGCGATTGCCCTCACCGGCTTGCTTGAGGGTGGAGATCGCGTCCAGCAGCGCACGGTTTGCGGGTGTCCCGGCCTCCTCGACGGCCGACGCGGTCTTGAGATTAATGAGGAGGAACTCGGTGACCGGAGTTGCAGCCATATTGGTGATCTGACAGGGTACTTATTTTGCCGTCTGTTTTCATTAGTGGGACTCGAGGCCGTGATGGGCTGCCTTGCTCGTGAGCAAGGCATGAAACAGCACTGCGAAAGTCGGTTAGATTCAGGTTGCTTTGTGGATGCCGACTTGCATCATAATCACGTGTCGGTCAGTTTCTCTACTGAGCTCTCTCATGCATACGCAGTAGCTCTGTACATAGTTCACTAGTTTTAGAGATTCAAACAAGTGGTTGCATGCGCACTCGAGACAGAGAACCATTTCAGGGGGCTAAATGCCAGGCTTGAATTTGCGGGTGTCCAGCTGTGGAAGTGGTGTCCACCTATCTATCTGCCGCGGGAGACATCGACAGTCAATCTCCCGCACACTTTGAACACAAATTCCCGCACCTGTTGCCCCCCCATTGACTAAAACGAAAGGGCCGCGTACCTGCCGTCGAGTATTGGGTATTGGGAGCACAGCACGACATGTAGCGTAACTGTTCCCAGGAGACGCAACCAGCCCTACCCAGAGAGCCACAATGGAACTCCCCCTCATCAAGCGTTTAGTCACCCCATTCGTCGCAGCAAAAACTTAATTGCGGCGACGCGTACAGTGACTGTGGGTCGGATCCTCCTCGGCCGAGTCCGAGACGCTGGCTCCGGAGCAAAGTAGCCTCTGCCGCGCCCTCTCCGTGGTTGGTTTGTCGTCGTGACGGAGAGGTTCGTTTCTGGCATGTCGCCCTTACTATCGCGCTTCTCTCCTTCAGAAAGGATCCCGCTTGATGGGACAGACGGTCATAGACACTGCGAGATGTACTCTTCTCCGCTGTGTCAGTGACCGCCCCAGCGATGTGAACCCACATGTCCACACCGTGGTTGATACTACTCGACTTCCCCTGCAAGGTACACGGCCCAATCGGCCAAGAAGAACTTCCAGGTCGCACTCTGCTTTGCTGTCTCCTGATTGCCAGTTATGCGTAACCGACAGGGAGCAGCTGGGGTTCGTGACCCCCGAGAATGCTGCCTCGGATCTTCTTCTCCAGCAGAAGCGGCCGTCCTTCGTAAAGACTTCCACCAACCGTGACTCCATCTGCTGGATTTTTTGTGGACCGGTGGATGGCCATAAACATGACCAGGGACTTGTACCTCCTTAAACTTGGTAACGGCTTCCCACGTCCCTGATGGGCGCCGGCCAAGTTCCGTCGTATGGTGCTGCACATGGTGGTCGGCACGTCCGACCATCCATGGATTGCTCCAACATTTTCGTCATTCTCAAATAGAGATCCGACATAACGCCCACTTGGCTACTCTAGTTAACCAACGGCTGGGCCTTTTAATGTCTTGCCCAGGACAAGGCCAAGGGGCCATCGTCTTTATCTCTAGCAATGGTCAAGATTCGTCGACTGAAGTCATCGTAACTGCACAGATTGAACGATGTCGGTGGCCCCCCAACTCTGGAATAGGCGGGAATTTCGACAAGTAATCGTTCATCTATCGTCTCACGACACTCGATATTCGTAACTCGTCCGGATTTGCCAGCGACCAAACGCCTCTGGAAGAAGCACGTCTGTCTATATGTCATCGCTTTCAGGTTGGTTAGCGGCGACTCTCGTGGAAGCAGGCAGAATCAACTCACCATATGACGCCTGAATGTGCATACCACTTTTGTATACGCATATCCGTTCATTCGTGAAAGGTCATAATCCATGAAACCTTCCACAACATTTGTTGCCGGTATACAACCGAGCAACACCGATGGGCCTTTTAAACGTCGTGCCCAGGACGAAGACGCGCATGGCCGAGGATGGCCCGGGGATGAGCCGATGAGAGACTCGGGCGGAAGCTTACACAAGCTCAAGCTTCGGTTCTGGTGCTGGATAATCCAACGGTATGGACTCGCTCGAGCGAAGCCAAAGCGACAGCAGTGGTGGCTCGTATGCCAGAGAGCGATGCATTCATCGTTTCAAGTCGGACGAACAAGGCGACGCGACAATAATCAATGCGGCGGGCGGAATGCAGTCGTGACTGGATCGCGAGATATTAGCTTGGCTCCAACTTGGAGAAAAGGGGTGACAATGACGCACAGTAACAAGTCCAAACCATCGGCTTATTCTAGCTCCTGTTGGGCAGGAAGCAAGAGCCTTTATCCCCGGTACAGGACAGAGTGGCGGGTGTGACGAGCACTACTCCGAAGGACCCGACAATCCATCTCGTAGACGGGCTGAAAGGGGGTCAAGGCAAGTGATGGACGACGTCGAAGGGAGGAATAATATTTTGGTCAGGGAGAGACATTCATCCCTCGCGCGGTTCTGTCATTTTTGGTGGGTTGGGCACCCGCGGAAGATATCCGTTGAGGGCAGCCTCGTTAGGTTGAGGAGTGTTGTGACGCGAAGTGGAAAGGTGAGGTGATGGGTCCTGGGGGGAGCTAAATTTATGGGCAGCTTGGGTGGATCACTTAAGCGCGCTGGTCCAATCAGGTTGCCTAAACGAAATTATGCTATCTGAACGCCGCCTTACTGCGTACTGGATATCCAATGCGTAGTTGGGCGTGGATGCTTTACTCCGTACTCCGTACACTTGGTCTCCTTGTATCTTGTGACTTGACAGGTATGTCTTCACCACTCAAAAGACGTGGGCCATCAACAGTTGCAATGGACTCCCCTTGCTGACCTTCTTTCTTGGGTAGATCTTCCGCGTCTTCCTCGTATAGCGAGCCAAGGCCCCCTGGCTTGGAAACCTCTCCACCTCTGTCTTGTCTGGCGTCGTGAGGAAGTCGCAGATGTTTACCCAGACCCCTTGCATGGCCTAAGAATGAAGCTGAGTTTTAACCACTTCATCCCCTGGTAAGCCACTTGACGTAACGTACCTTCTTGCACTTATTCTTGCTGCTCAAATCCCCGGTTATCCCAAGGTCGTGGCAAAGTCGTTGCCAGTCCTCCAGATTGCCAGCGCCAAAGTAGTCGTGCCAGATCTGCGCGAATTGGATGCGAAGACCATCCACATTACCAGCGGCCTCCTGAGTCGAGTTTTGAGGGCCCTGAGCAGCGCCCTTGTGGACTCTATTATTCGACTTCTTCTTGACCATGATTTATGGTTGGAGGGACGACGCGAGGAAGCAATGGTCAAGACGTGATTGTGTGGGTTCGCGGAACAGAGGTAGAAGGCATCTTTGGGGTCGATGAAATGGGTGGTGCCTCGCCGATATATAGCCAAGGAAGGGTTGAAGCTGAAGACAAACGGTGTGCTGCATCGACCCGGTAACCATGCGCCACCGGATTTCAAAAGCAAAGTTATTCCTGGTTTCGGGCGAATCACTTCTTTACCTAGGCGGGCCATTTCTTTTTGGTTTGGTGGCTGATGATGACGCTCAAGAAGCTACTCTCTCCTGTTATTCCGTGGGTATTGAGTCCTGTCTGTTGAATCCGGCCGCAAACAAGGAGGTGTCAATGAGCCGTTGTGATACACATCCGTTTGGGGTTCATAACTGTCTTAGTCCTCACGCAGCACCTCGGCCAGGCGCTTCTTGACCTGTTCGTCATCCCAGTCAACCAGGATCCGCTCCTTCGAATCTTTCATTTTCCTCTCCACAAACGGCCCCATTGCATTTCTTTCCTTCTCGCTCAATAGGTGTACTCTCGTCTTCCAAAGGTCCTGTTTCGCAATGTCCCCTTCCCTGCTACCAAAGAATCTCGTCCAGGTGCTTCCAGAAGATGGTGTCAAAGGCCCAGCTTTTCCTCCCAGCGTAGTTGAGCCAGAACCGGCCAGTCTCCCAACTCTCCTGCATATATGAAGACAGTGTGAACCCCTTCGACTTCGTTTCCATGCTCTCCTCTGCCTTCTCCATCGCCCGCAGCCAGGTCTTCAGGCGCGTGTTGTAAACCTTGGTCCAATCGTCAATATCAGTGTGCCACGTCTCAGGCACATTGAGCAGCAGCCACCAAGGAGGGTCGAGAGAAAACTGCGTTGGAGCCACATATGAGAATTCCCAGTCAATGACAGCAACTATCTCCTCAGCCTCATTCAAGAGGATGTTGCTTGGCCGGAGGTCGTCGCACCAAAGCCTGAAGGAACTTGACCCGCTGGGAGCAGACAGCGTCGAGGGCTGGTTCTTGGACTGGGCAGACTAGTCGTCATCTACAAACCCAAAAGTCGACAGCCGGCCCTGCTTGGCCAGCCTGAGGAAGAGCTGACGTGCCACATACTTATTCTGGCAGTCATCTGTCGAGGTAACGAGGTCGTTGTGTTGAAAGATGAGTTGTGCCATATGCATTTCCGCCAGCGCAAGGTACCATTCGTCAGCAGTCCTATAGATTCTGTCCCCAGGGGGGAGGGTGGCGCGCGGGATATTCGCAAGCTGGAGCATGTTGTTCATATTCTGGGTTATCGGCCGTCCTGCCACCAAGAAGGTGTTCTCATCAGTCTGTGCTAGAGACCCAATGCAGGGAAAGCTGGGCTCAAAGAGCTGTAGCAAGTGGACAGCTGCTTTGCCGTAAAATCTCTCGACCACACCCTCGGAAACGCCGGGGTTCAACATGTGAGCCTCGGTAGGATCCTTCTCGTTGGGCATTGCTAGTGCGTGAGACATAGTTCCGCAGTTTTCGACATGTTTGATGATGAGGAAGGGCCCAACTTCAGACTCTGGACTCGACAGTCCGTAGAAGAGTACTTGGGCAACTGGAATCCGGGTGTTTTGCGCAACAAAGCTCGCTGTTGCAGCCTCTCAGAGAGTCTTCTCGCCTGGAAACTGGGCTTGGTTGGGCTGGGGCAGTCGAATAATAACGTCGTCAGACCCCCTCGATTCGCAGCCTGTAGAGGTTGTTGAATCCCCCGATCCTCAGCGGGGTTACCCAGGTTGCAGTCTTGCCCAATTTCTGCGTCACGAAGGCTTCTATCTTACGCAGGGTACAGACGCGACGAAACCACTTCTGCGACTCTTCCCAGGCCTCATCGTTTCTGTCCCATGCGACGTTGTCGAAATCTGCCCGGTCATCGCCCATACTAGCTGTATGGTGCCGTCAAGTTGAGTCACGGTAAATATTGAGGGTGGCAGAGATGCTAACAGGACTGGTATGACACGCTGATACGTTACTAGTTGAGTGGCTTACACTATGCCCATATGCCAAACATCACAGTTCGATCGAGTACCAGGCTCCCGGCTAGATCAACGACTCAATATTCGGAGATTTACGATGTTTTGACAAAAAAGCCCATGCGTGATCAGCGAGCCAACAAGTGCATTGTTTTTCTCGGGGTTGGAAGACTCGGTTTGAAAGAAACTTGGTGGCAGTCATCATGGAAATGAACAGGGGGGGAAGAATCAAGCCCCACCAATGCTAGGGACAAGCAAAACAAAACATGTCTCCGAACCATAGCTGCCGAACCATAACCCAGCCCCCCGAAAAAAAACGTTGATGCCTGCCATCAGGATTCATCTCTGCGCTAACAAGAAGTGGAAGCAAAGTGGAAACTTGGTTGTGGATTCGTTAGGGCCAGTCTTTCCGGTCTGATTTGGCGGTGGCTGTCAAACACACAAGATCGGCACCCAACTTTGCCAATGACCGGGTTGACCGGGTCTCCATGGCTTGTTGTCTCAGTTTCAGGGCTGCCCGATTCTCCCCCCTGCCACGTCTTGCCCTACTGACGGCTCTGATAATGGGGCGCCGTATAGGTTCAGCGCACCAGGGCTTGCCCTGGCCGGAGAACTGGGTTACTGACAGTTGTCGGCGCCTACGTGTCATGCCATAAACATGCCCACTTCGCGCCGTGGGCCTATCGTGGTCTTGCTCTTCTCCAATCGCGCCGCGTCTTGGGAGCGCCTCCACTACTGCAGCACTATTGTCTGGGGGCGGTCTGGCTTGCAGGCCAACCTTGCCCAACCCCATGAAAACGATCTTATAAACATGCAGCCTTGAGATCTGATCCTGTGTTCTTCTTCTATGTCTATATTTTGCGTCTTTGCCGTTCGCAAACTGCGGTGAATATCGCGCTTGGTGACTGCGAAATGGTTGCCCCTGTAGCCATTTGGCTCTCAATCATTTCCTTTTGTTGTGAACGAACGATCTACCACCCTTTCCCAAGTCTCCGGCCTTGTTGTTGACAAGCTTGACTCCCGAGACTCTCAGTGACATTATTATGGCTTGGGATTCACGGCATCCTAGATCTCAAACTCCACCGTGGAGAAGAAGAGATCCCGCCCTCCTGGATGGTATTCGGCCACTCGACCACAGAGCATCAATGGAGTTGAGGACGGGCCTGGGGGACTGTCCCTTGTCGCCTGTAACCGAGGAGGATGGTGGTTCCCCATTCAGCCCGCCATTGGTTGTCAGTGTCACCGTCAAATTCGCCGATCCTATCATCAGATCCACGTACCGTCGAACTTACGGCAGCTCCCCGAACTTCGAGCCCTCAGACAGGATCTGCAATGGGCTACTGCGCCGGATTGATCATTGTTGCGAGGAGCTTATCACGCGCAAAGACTCCACGGCCTTTCTCACATGTAAGGAGGGAACAGGCACCCCAAAGCCTCTGAGATTCGAGATGACCTTCCGCATGGCCAGGAGGGACACGGGGGAACAGACGGAAAGGACCTTCGAGTCTTATCAAATCCACCCACTTACCGCGGCCTTCGCTAGGGAAGTCACGCTTGCTAGCCACAGAATGATCGGTCTCTTCCTCTCGCACCATGATAAGGAGTTCAAGTGGCTTGATGGGTCCGTTGGGGAAGGCCATCGTCTCGGCCGCGAGACCATGATCCCCTCATTACACACGCCCTTATCGCCCTGCTGCATACCTCGGTCACGCTTTGTCGAGTCGTCGCAGTCCTTCGAATTTATTCCTGGCTACACCATCGAGGTGTCCTTCAAGAGCCGAAGCCAGAAACGGTCGGAACATGGGGCGTTCAGTAAAGTGCTGAAGATCAACAGCAGGCAGAGTTCGCCACTGAATCTCATGCTCAGCGAGGACCTGCTATGGCAATCGTTCCAGTCCGTCGACTCGGCCCTGGGCTCAAAGAAACGGCAGTTCGACGAGCAGCACGAGAGCTGCGGGGGTCTGGAAGGCCCATCCGCATGCCAACACTTTGACGACGAAGGCCTCCATCTAGCCCTCCGCGTAACGAACAACCTCGGTCCTTCATATGACCATCTCCATCGAGACATTCGAAGCAAACTGGTCCTGTTCCACGACAAGGATGGTCAAGACTGCCAGACTTTCCTCAAGGGCATTGAACGTCAACTGATGGAAGCAAGAGACGGCATCGACTCCAGAATCAGCCAGATGCATGATTTCGAGCTCAGGATCCTCGAGCTAAAATCCTCAACCTGGTCAATTCGCAACCCGCTCAGGTTCTCCCTCGATCCCTGCGCGTCCTATTCCCGCCGCAGCATCGAGGCGGTCCTGGAGCGAGTCCAGACCGGCATCAGCGACGTGCTCCGCGGCAACAACATCGCCATCCACGTCAGCGCCTACAAGCGTGGCCACCTGGTCCTGGAGAAGGCACTCGTCGCCCGCCAAGACCCCCGGGGGCTGCAGCACGATGCCCGGGACCCGGAAGACCAGAAGAAAGACTTTGTGTCTCGACTGCGGGCCCGCATCCAGGAGGACATCGATAAGGTGTGCAAGGACACTTGTTCGCTGGGCGACATCCCCGACAACGAAGTGCTGGACAACAAGGAAACGGATAACGAGGCCACTCTCGCGTCTAGGAGCGATGAGGAGAAGCAGGGTCAAGAGGGTAAATCCTCGGGAGACACACCCGTCGAGGATACAGCAATTGAAGGAAGCAGCCGGGATCGGGAGGCGCCCGTTCAACGGCGATTCCCCCTGGTCGGGAATTCGAAGGTCGTCGCAAAGGGGCACCGTGAAGACTGTTGGTCTGACGACAGCCAAGATCCCGCGGAGCCGAGTTATTCGCCATCAACCGAGCCTGGCGAAGACATGGAAGATCAAGCCCCTCTTGCTGGCGCCGCCAGGCCATACAGCACGATTACCTTCCCAGGATCCGCACCCGGCCAACGGTTCTTCCCCCTCGTCCCCGACAGGTTCTCATTGCCATCCCGTGTCAGCAGCGGGTGTATCCTCGCAAGCGAGCCGTACGACTTACCGACGGACACCGAAATGCACGACGGAAAAGAAGAGGACCACGAAGGAGGGGCTCGAGACGAAGCACCGGAGCAAAACGAACAAGTTCATCCCACAGAGCACTGCGAGGACGCCCCTGCCGCCGAGTTAGCAACTGACAGCGAGCCCCACGAGACGTGTTCTGAAGGATCGGTACCGGCCGGAGTGGATAAATGTCCGGCTCCATCAGTTGAGGATTCGGGTGTCGTCATCGAGGAACCCGTCCCAGTTCCTGGAGGCCCCGACCATGCCGCTGGAGATTTACTTCCTGCGGATCGGGTGCCTGTTTTTGAGGCCGAAGAATCAGGGCCTCTCGAAGAACACGTATCCGTCGAAGAACCCGTATCCGTCGAGGAACTGGGGACTACCGCGGAAACCGTACAATCTATTTCGGAACTTCCATGTTCCTCGGAAGCTGTAGGAGAACCAACCAGAACGTCAGACGAGGAGCATGACGAGACGTGCTCCCTGGCTACCAAGCCGTCCACAGACACATTTAGCAGATCAAGGATGGACGTCGCCCAGACACCGCAAGGCATCTCCCGTCTTTATCGAGACAGCGCAGGCGGGCGGGCCATTGAGCCCGAGACCCCTTCCAGAGCAGCCAATTGCGCGGACAGCGATGACGACTCGACCGCGCCGTCGACTCCGGCCTTGAGTTCGGGGTGCGAGTCATCGCCCAGGAACAGCCTCATAATCACGCCCAATAACCTTGCCACCCTCCCAGGCCTCAAACGGCCACTTCTTCGTGGGCTGGAAGAGGACTACTTGGGTCACCGGTCGGAAGCGGAGACCGAGACGGTCGATGGCCTGCGAGAAGGTTGTGCTTCTGACAAAGGCTTGCTACCCGGAGGTGTGTTCCCGAGTTTGCAGGAGCGAGCATTCGAGGATGCTGGACGAGGGACAGCGCTATTTCCTCCTCTTGACCTGCCAGCGGTGCCACAAAGTCCAGTGCCAGAGGCTCTGGCCACTAGTGACACCTTTGAGCTGGATGGTAAGGAGACCGAATTCTCGATGGAGGCGGACGCGGGACAAGCAACGGAGAGCCCGCCAGGTGGTTCGCCCGTGCTCATTTCCGAGCTCGCCGACTTCGACTGTGGTTCGTCGTTCCTCGATATAGAACCGGACAGCTCGATGCCCCGGCCAATGACGAAGTTCGGCCCCCTTTTGGTCTCGGAGGCTGAATCGAATCGAGCCCCGGGGCTCGATGCACCGAGATCTTCCGACTACAAGGCTACCGGTCCCGAGGTATTGACACAGGTGGTTCGTGACAGCGAGGAGTTTCCAGCTCCAGAAGGAATTACCGAACGCAAGGAGGATGAAGCGGACACCGAACTACAGCTGGAGGAGCCTGGAGTGGCCACGACTGTTACTTCGGCCCTGGAAATCTCAACAGGGGACTCCGAACCACTCTCAGAATCGGAACCCAGTCCTGGAACCTCGAAGCAACTGCAAACTGAACACGTCCCCCAAACCCCGACATCTTCCACATGCACCCTTCCCTGGACAGTCCCCATACCTCTCCCCAAAGCCTCCGCAACACCACCACCCCTCTCCCGCAACACCACCGCCAACAACCCGCAGCCGAACTCCCCCGACCAGCCCGCCGAGCCCAGCAGCCGCGATTCCGTCGACGACATCCCCCCACCGGATCCCGAGCCAGGCAGCGCCCCCGCCGCCACCGCGAAGCGAGACTACCGCCCCGCAACGGCAGGCTACCTAGGCCTGCGCGACTCGCGGACCATCGAGGTCGGCCTGCGGGGCGCCCTGGGGGACGGGTCCTCCCGGCGGCGCCTCAGCCTGCCTCTGGACCAGCTGCTGCTGCTAGGCGGCGACGCGACGGAGGGGCCGGGGAAGGGCAAGAGCGACAGGCGGCGGCGCGTGAGCTTTGGGGAGGGTCCGACGGCGGAGGGGCAGGGGCAGGGGCAGGGGCCCGACGCTGGGGAGGGCGCGGGGGTGTTGCCGAGGATGGTGATGATTTTTGCGGGGATGGCGTTTGCTAGTAAGATATTGAATCGGGCGGACTAAGTAGTTGGGCGCCGGTCGGTGTCTGGGGAGGTTGGGATGGAGCGGATGGGACGGACATGCGGTCACTCGTTTCGTTTACTCATTTGTTTCTTCGACTGCGATAGAAGGTAGGCGGAAACGGCCTCCTTCTGATACAGCCCCTGACGGGCTACCATATTTCGGGGCGGCGGCATTACTTGGCGTTGGGCGGCGGTTATGGATATGCATGGAATGGGAATGAATTTGCTTAGGGACGAGCGAGCATCAGGGTAGAATTTAAACGAGAGACTTCTGGGAGGTCTGTTATGAACAACATAAATAGGTAGCTAGCTTGCAGCAGAATAAACCCCCAGCCCACATCACAAAGGGGTTGACGGGGGTTGAGCAGATTCTCTAACGTCACCTCCTTCTATATGTCTCAAGAGTAACCTGTCACTTCATAGCAAGCAAGTGGTAGTGTGTGACACATCTCTTCTGTAACTGCCAACAGTAGACACGCCAATAATGAACATGCATTGCTAAATCACTAGGCAACACCTCGCTCTGAATAATGCTGCGGATAAACTGCCCATCTACAGCTCATCCCTAGCCATGTCCGCCTCCCCGGCCGTCTCCTTCTCCTCCTCCCACATCCTCTTCTTGGGATTAGGCTCGTCATGCCCGCTCGAGTTATCAGCACCGCCATCGTGCCGCTCCTCGGCCCTCCCCTCCCCAGCACCCTCGACAATCCTCCCAACCTTCTCGACCATCGAGTCCGGATCGGCCGGGACGCCTTTCCTTTCTTCCCCGCCCACCCTCAGCGTAGGGACCGCCCCAGGCCCCGCCCCGGCATCCCCCTCCACCTCCACGCGCATCTCCCCCGCCCCAGTCCCCACGGCGCTCTCCTCCCTCCCGCCACCCCACACCGCCACCCTCCCCCCAGTCCTCCACACCGTCCGCGCAGGCAACCAGACCACCCACCAGAGCGGCCCATAGAGCCACCTCCGAAAGACGAGCCACGCCAGCGTCGCGAGCAGCAGCGCGACGCTCGTCTCGAGGTACCACGTGTCGCTCTTGGCGCTGGTCAGCAGCGCCCCGGCTAGCTCGCGCGACGACGCCAGCAGGCCCGACAGGCCCTCGTACCCCTCGCGCAGCGACCCGAGCGCCGCCGTGCTGTCCGCCAGCGTCCGCCGCGCGAACGCCGACCGCGACAACTCCGCCGCGATCTGGTCGTGCGTCCGCCGCAGCGCCGCCGTCACGTCTGTGCTGGCCCCCACGACGCCGTCGTCGTCGTCGCCGCCACCACCTGCGGCCTTGTGCTGGCGGCGCCGGCGGTAGCTGGATGGGAAGAGTTGCTGGTGGTGGTTGTTGTGGTGGTGGTGGTGGTGGGCGGCTGGGGGAGACGAGGAGGGGGGGTGTGGGCCCGGCGACGACGCGCCGGAGCGGTTGTCCAGGGGCGTCGAGGCCGCGCTGGCAGAGTACGAGGCCAGGAGGAGCTCGCGCTCGAGGCGCTGGGCTCGTTGGAGGGAGGTGCGGGCCGAGAGTTGGGCTTTGCGGAAGGTGACGCGGCAGCTGGTGTGACAATGTTATTAGCTGTACAGTTCCTACAGGGGGCAGTTGGGCTGCCGGCTCACCTCCTCAGCTCCTGGTCCAGCCTCGCGGCGCCGTCCTTTAACCTGGCCTTGGCGTGCTCCGCCTCGCTGCCCGACCTCCCGGACCTCAGATCCGTGACCTCCTCGCGCAAGAGTTCCAGGTCTTCCTCCTCCTCCCGCAGGACCTGGTTGATCTCCGTGCTCAGCTCTGCGGCGACGTTGTCCTCGTCATCGCCGCCCAGCGGCACCGAGCCAGGCTGGAACTCGAGGTTGGCGAGCCGGTCGATGAGCTCCCTCAGCTGTGCCGTGGTGTCCTGGAGGGCGGCGAGGCGCTCTTGTAGGGCCTCGAAGGACATTTTTTTGCTCTCTGTGCTGGTGAGCCGGTTTGATGAGCTTGACAGTTTCGATAGTTAAGGAGCTTTTGGCTGCGAAATGCTGAGACAGCTGGCCTTAAATTCATTGGCGACGTCACTTCTAGGAAAGACACGTGATTGGCTAATCCCTGAACCACCCGGCTCCGTTCCGGCGTCGTGCATTTTTTTGGAGACCGTCAATTAGCAAGAGCTGAGCGCAATTCCCCTTGTACATACATACCTTTGACCCGGCCGACCTCGACACTCTCCACCCCCCGAGCCCTTTCGAAGCGACAAGTCACAGCTTCAGCAGCAGCACCTCCTCTCACCTCCCCAACAGAGCCTACCCGAGGGTGCTGCTCCCTCCCCGACCCGCCGCCATGATAACCCGATTCATCACCGACGTGACGACCCGGTTCAACCCCTTCTCCCCGCGCGCAAAGGCCGCCCGCGTCTTCCTCTCCTTCCTTCCCCCGACCGCGCGCGCGAGCGGCATGAAGATCACCACCCAGCTGCTCCCGCGGGCGTCCGCCGAGCCGAGCTCCCTGCACGTCAAGTTTAGTACGTCGTCGTGTCTCTTATTCATTCAATAATGGGACTCCGGTTGATTGTTGCGCTTTTTGCTAACCTGCCCAACACAGAGGACGGGAAGGAGCTGAACCTCGATTGCGAGACTCTGGGGATCAAGGGGATTATCGAGGAGGTGGACCGACATTCGCGAACCCTGCAGAAGCAGGCTGATCTGAGCGAAGGGTAGTCGTGTTGCGTGGACTGACAACATTTTATGTTTATCACATGTATCAATAATGAAGAAGAGCATTGGATGGCGTTGGGCGACGGGATTACGACATGAATACCATATTCATTTATCGGTCAACATATCAACATGCAAGAGGGTGCGACGCAGGGCTTTCCATCCTAATCCGCAACGCATCATATCATTTCAAGATGTGTGGTTACAAATATGTGTACCGGAACAAGCGCCCGTCCTGCTCACCAAGGTCCCCTTTTTATTTTTATTTTCCCGCCTATAAACAGTACGCGACAAATTAAGCCGCCGCGCCGCTAATGAAGAACCACTTGTCTATCGAGCTGTCGATCTTCTCTGGCAGGAGGTCCTCGTTAGGCGGCAGAGGAGGTAGCTGGTCGGGGGAGACGCGGCTGGGAGAGTGGCCGACGGTCAGGTTGGTCCTGGTTCGTTTGGTTAGCAAAGCTTGCCCAACTGCTGGCGAGCCCTCTCTGAACTTACGTCGAGACATTACCGGGCTGGACCTTGCCAGCGATGAGCCTGTCCCAGGCCTCGGCGCACTCCCGGATGACGTCCATGGCGTAACTAACGTCGTGTGTTAGTAACATGCTCTGCGGCCAGAGGGACTGACGCCTGTCAAGCTTACCTCTTGTTCTTGCACTCGCCGGTGAAGGCGAACTGGTTCTCGGGCTTGCCGTCGGGAATCTTGTAGATACGGAACCACTCGTTGGTGGCGCGCAGCAGGCCGGGGAGGTGGCGCTCGACGTCCTCGACGTCGTTGAGCTTGGGGGCCAGGGGGTCGTTCACATCGATGACGATGACCTTCCAGTCGGTCTCCTCCTCGTCTAGCAGAGCCATGACGCCGAGGACCTTGACCTGCTTGATCTGACCGGGGTAGCCGACGAGCTCGCCGATCTCGCAGACGTCGAGCGGGTCGTTGTCACCCTTCGCCTTCGTCTCGGGGTGGACCGTGTTGGGGTCTTCCCAGGTCTGCAGGAAGAAAAGGTGAGCTCAAGGCCGGGGGTGGGGAGCTGCGGGGCATTTGTGAGTAAATTCGGGGGGTAAGCGGGGGAGTCGTACCTGCGGGAAGGCGCCATAGTTCCACAGGTAGCCCTTGTGGGGGAAGCAGTTGCGGACATATCGAAGCTTGCCCTTCTTGATGTCTTGCTTGATGGGGTTGAGGAGCTCGTCCTTGGAGATCTACAGAAATGCCCGAGGGTTAACAGGCATACTTCAGCTGTTTCGTTGCGCGCGACCGCGACAGGGCTGGTGTAAGCTGACCTCAAGCTTGGCATTGGTCCAGCGGGGAATCTCGACGACCATGTTCAGGACGGTCTGCTCCGCATTGGCATATAGCGGGATGTCGTGGAAGGGCGAGATCGGGACGCCATCCTTCTCGAGGTAGACACGGTGCTCCAAGGTGTGGGGCGCCGCCACCCTGCGGACGGTGTAGGGAGAAGCCATTGGGGCTGGATATTGGAATTGGTGGTTGCGAGTGGGATCGACGGTAGCTGAGGTCGACAGATGTCGAGCTATCTGAGCTGTCCGCTGGGTGGGAATGTTGGGCGAAGCCTGGAGGGGAGTAGTTGACGTTCCGACTAGAGTAGAAGCTGGAGGCGAAGGAGGGGGAGGGGCTCCACGGGTTTTGGGTAAACTTGTGTGCGACGCCAGCGTGACGGGCCTTGATTGGCTAGGATTGGGACTGGGCCTGAGACTGAGAATGGGATTGGCCCAGGGTGGCAGATATTGGGCTGACCTAAACAGCAGCGGTGGGCGTGGGAACTGTCGCAGCGCTTGTCGGGGCTGCATGCAGGCAAAATTTTTCACAATCGCCTGAATAGATGACGAGATAGCGGAGCTCAAGGGGGGGCGCCAACGCGATCACTTTTTAGATGCTTCTTGAGGCCGAAGGAGTAAGGTAGGTTGGCTAAGAGCAGCCCTTCGTTTTTCTAAGCTTTAAAGGGAATGGAGACAAGCTGGATCCTAGTGCAGGAGGCTTCTTTTGGCCGCGGTTGTTGATGCTCTGAGTGCCGAACAGGTTCTCGAAAATTTCTCGGTAAAATGGGACGAAACGATGCCAGCCGCGGAATGCGTCTTGTATGTACGATCACAACGAGGCTTGTCCGGGAATCAGAAGGATTGCAGGAGTGAAAGAATTATGTGCTGCAGATGTACGTATACAAGGAGTTGGTCAGGCCAGATTAGTTGAGTTATACGATCGACAGAGTTCAATGATTTACATATGTCTCCCTGCGAGGGAATAGCCGAGTATATGGGCGTGGCCTGGGAAAGAACCCGGGCAGGTGGGTGGGGGGTTCGCAACCGGGCAACCGATAAGCCGCACTGTGGCTTGAGCATACGATTGGCAGTCAGTCTCCTTAAAGCACAATAACTCAACAGTGGACATCAATCAACACTCGCTCGTTATCGAAACCCAATGCATTCTAGACCGAAATAGTTATCATAGCGCCCGGAGGGTATTTGCTGACTACCGTGAACCCAACGCCTCCTCCTATTTCTCATCCCAAAGTCATTCCAAAACACGAATCTATGGGTGCGAGGTTTGGGGTTGGGGGGGAGAAGGTTAGATCAACCGGGCCGTATCACATGCCACTTACAGGCGCCGCCCCCCCTTCCCGTCCGTAATTATCGCTTGCAAAGCACCCCTTACCGGCGAGGCAGGTTGTTCCTCCCATACGGCGCCGACGCGCCACCGAATGAGGGCCCGGCAGCGCTCCACCCCTGATGGACGCTCTTCTGCACAATCAGCGCCGCAGCCTGCGCCGCCGTCTGGCGCTCCCTCTGCCGGTGGCGCTCCTTCAGATAGCCCACGGCCTCGAGCCGCATGCGGAGGATGCGGAGGATCATATCGTCGCTCGGGTCCGCCTGCGCCTCTTTCCGCTTCTCCTCCTTCGCCTGCCGTATCGTGCCGAGATTGCGGCTCATCATGATGCTCCTGCCCCTCCGGATCGTGCCCAGGCTGCCGAAGGCCCCGGCCGCCGCAAACGTCGGCCCAAACGTCGGCGGCGCGGATAATCGGTTCTGCGGCACGTTCGCCTGACGTAGCTGCTGCTGTGCCCGTTGGGCGTTCGCTGCGGCCATGCGCTCCGACGTGCGAATCAAGTTCTCTGTCGTCTCGAAGTAGAAGAAGTTCAGCGACTGGAGGTCGTGCCACTTGGGGGACTTGAGGATATCTGCCGGGACACCGAGGACCTCTCCGCTCTCATCTTTTGCGTTGAAGAAGTCGAAGAGCAGCTGCAGCCAGCGGAACACGATTTCCAGCTCAGGTTCTGTGAGCGGTTTCTGCGTCGAGACCTTCTCGGATAGAGGGGGCACCAGAAGGTTCTCGATGGTCATGAGTACTTCCTTCCACAGCCGTGTCATGACTGCCAGCATCGTGGCCCTCGTGAGCGTCTGATTCATGATAGCAAAGTTCTCATTGAAGTAGGCGAACAGTGACTGCAGAGCGTTCTCGACGTCGGCTGGGGAGAGGGCAGGCACCGTCGACTGCCGTTTCTTCCACAAACTCGCCATAGATGCTGCTATCCCCCTGCTCAGCAACCCGTTCAAAGCCTCGTGTGACAGCGAAGCGTTGATATGTGTGGATAACTAGATGACGGTGAGCGTTATTATCATTGTCACACGGGAAGACCACGCGGGGTCTTGGGTGTCAGAGGCATACCTTGTCGGTGATCTTCCGGACCATATCTCGCTCAGTCCGCTTCAAGTGTCTAAAGGCCTTTCCGAAATGGAACTGAATGTCATCACGCTCGCCCTCCATGCTGACTCTCAGAAGGATGCGGCCCTGCGTGTCAAGATCCAGCCAGAATTCGCGAGGCAGGTAGTCGCTGAAGTGGACGGGGTCGAGCTTCAGGGAAGTGCGCCCGACGAAGTCGTCATCCCCAAAGGTATCATAATCCCAGACGGTGGCTATGATGTTGAGCGGCCCTGCCACCGTCATATCAAGCGACTCGTCCCAGCGAGGGTTCAGGTTCCTCATGACAACCCGGGTCCTTGCGAGACGCTTCTGGTATTCGTCGCACAAGATGACGTAGGGATCACTAGTCCCATTTGGATCACACGCCTTCAGGTCCTCCGCTTCTATGATCTTGACGGTGAAGATATACTTGTTAGGGCGCTTAGCCTGCTGCCTCGGGGCGTCCACCTTTGCGAGGGCCTCGGCACATCCATCGACGTTCACCAGCTTCTCTAGCTTATCCAATGCTTGCATGGCGTATTCAATGTTGTTCAGCTTCACAAAGGACTATCCAAGGGAGTCAGAGACCGTTTAAGACCCTCCTTGCGGCAGTGCGGGCGGGGGGGTAGACATACCTGAGCGTAAAATTGGAAAGGCTCAATCCTGTCCTTCGTGTTCCATGCATCTTTGGCATACTTCAAGAACTTCTCTTGGGCGGTCTTGGCTTCGACTACTTGAGCCTCTTCGCGCGGTTTGTTCATCTCGATGGCAAAATCGTGCTCGACTATCTCGCAATAGCGCCCAATTGCGGCAGCGAAGGCTTTTGCCAGGGCCGTCATGAATTTCGCGTGGTGGACGTCGTCATCCCACCCAAGCTGGAAGACCTGATCAACAGTCTGGTTGAAGAGGGTGAACAAGTCGATGATAGACACACTGTGGCGCTCGGCATCCGTCGGGGTCGTCTCGGGGTTCTGTGTGCGGACATGGAAGTCGTCTTGCTTGATTGACTCTTGGACATAGTCTTCCATCTTGCTCTCGGCACCCTTGACCCATCTCCAGACGAAATCCTCAAGCAGGCCCTCGACATGGAAGGCGAAGGGTTGGGCAGGCAGCGATTCGACATGGATCTTCCGGATTTCGACCAGCTCCTTATACAAATCGAAGCCATCCTGGAGATCGATCTCGACGCCGTGCTCCTTGGCAACCTGCAAGACCTGCAGGATGAAGGCATTTGCGTCCTCCTCGAAAGTGGGAAACATGGTCTCGACCAGGACCCTAAAGGGGCTGACGCCCATGATCTCCGGGTTCTTGCGATACCGTTTCTTAATCCTATCGCACAGACTGACGACCGACTTGCCGAGCTTGACAACGTGCCCAAAGTGCCAATCTTGCCGGCTATGCGGGATGTGAGCATCGGTGAAATCACGGTAGGCCTGCGCGGCTTTCTGTCGAAGGCCGCCTTCGAGCTGCTGGGCGAAGTCGGCCTTCTCTTCGGGCCGCTGAGAGAAGGCAGGATCGTCATATATGTGCCTCCCGAGGACCATCATGACGACGGCAATTGAAGGAGGCTTGGGCTCGTAGCAGCGCAGAAGAAGGCTGAAGAGGTCTCTTAGCAGCGCGTCATGGAGATCTTTTAACGACTGCTGGTACACGACGAAGTCTGTCATGGCCCATCTGCTCGCGTCAATCTCCGGCAGTGTGGCTGTATAACCCTGGATAGGAGGGACTTTCTTTGGTTCCGGGACAGGGGTCTTGACGGACTCTAGAGCTACGTCGAGCTGCTCGGCCGTTGTCTCTTGGTCAAGGAACTTCCGAGCTGCCACTTCGACAAATGCGACATGACGGGTGAACTGCGGGATCCGCCAGCGGACGGCCAACTCAACCAAGAGATCGGTTGACTGTTCCGAAAGCGGCGTGTAGGGTCCTGCAGGATCCGAGTTGAGCTGGTCGTAGGACATGGCGTACTGGAGGATAGTCTTGTAGAATGCTCGCGGATCGCGGGGTATGAAAGTGTAATCCGGCTCATCCACGCTCCGAATACTAGCACCGTCATCGAGGGATAAGGACCCTAGGCTCAAGGGCTGCTCAAGCCCCAAGGCTCCGGTTTCAGGGTTCGAAATCATCTTGCTGAGATCAGCATAGGCCTGCTCTTCCCCGTAATAGGACTGAGGTCGGGCAGGCAGAGGTTTGGCAGCAGTAGACGTCGACGTTCCCCTCAGGTCTGGGCGGACGGCTAGAATCTCGGCGAACATCTGTCCCAGGTGTTGGGCTTCGTTCTTCTTCCACTCGTCGTAAGCCGCGTCAAGGTCGAAGTCGTGGCGTCTCAAAGTTCCCGCTGTGTTTGCCGACAGCCTGTACTGATATTGTTTATAGTCTTTGAGCGCCGCCTCCTCGGTCCAAAAGGCAATATTCGAGTCAAGGTCGGCCTGCACTTTGGAGTTTGCCAGGCCAAAGATCCTCGCAACGATCTGCACCATGGGCATGTCCTTGATTTCGTAACTGAGGGGGATTTCGACCTCGACAAACTTATGATCACCATCCTGTCCTGCGTCGATGGAGAGGTTCTGGTCGTTCGTGAGGAGTTTGTTCTCCAGCGTGCTGAGACGGTTCGTTAACTCTGACTGGTGCCGGTCACCGCCCATATCCTTCAAAATGCTTGACAAAAGCCGAACAAACATGGCAAGGTGCCTATCCACCAAGGGCTTGTAGGACATGTCGTCTGGCGTCTTCCCACGCATCTGCGCCTTGGTCGCGGACGTGTAGAATATGAGGATCAGAGGCTCGACCTTGCGATCCTTGTCTATTGACTTCTGGAAGTCCCTGGCGGTGAAGGCTGTGTAGGCTTCGGCAAAGGACCTTTTGACGGCGGCGTCATTATAGCCAGCCATTCTCTCGACGCCCTGCGGGACGCCCGACATCCTCTTCTCCAGGTGTGATCGGAAGCCGGTGGGGAGCTTGATGGCATTACTGGACGATCCCGTCGGAACAAGCTCCATCATCAAGTCGCCTATGGACAAGGTGTGTGACCTCGGCAGCGGTTTGGGTGTCGTGATGTACTCCTTGCGCTTCTTCCGAGGCTGCAAGAGATAGTTGAGGAAAGCGACGCGCAGGGCAAAGATGTAGGCATCGTCGTAGCTGACAACTTGCTGGCGAGCTCTCGACGCATGCCTTGAGTGACCATCGACGCCTGGGACGCTCTGGACGCTCCCAAGCCGGCGGTTCGGGTTCCACGATTTCCTCGAAGCTGCAGACATTTTGGGCGACAGAGGAGAACAGCGATGTTTCCTCTCGTAACTTGAAAACTACCTAGATGGCGGACGGGCTAGCGAGGGGGGTGGCACATAGTCGCAGTGGCCGAAGTGAGCAAGAGCGCACGAAGACAACCTAGAGATTCAACTCTGCGGTTGAAGAGGCGGGTCTTCAGTTACAAGGAAAAGGAAGTTTGACGTCCGACAGATAAACGTCATATGAGCAGGAGCTTGGGTTGGGGGCTGGCCAGTGCGGGTTTCATGGACTCAAGTGTGGGGCTTCAAGCCGCAGCTTCGGCACGCTAGCCTTACCCCTGACCGTTTTATTTTAGAACACAATCCGCATATACGCATACCCAGATATATATGCTATGTGAGCCTATCTGGATTGCCTCGCGACTCAACCAGGAGCTGATCCAGCTCTACAATCTCCATAAACTTCACACTGGCATAATAATTGTGCGATTTCAACATTCATCCTAGGTAGGCAGGTTATCCTCGGTTTCGGCCTGCCCCTTTATAGGTGGGAGATAGATGTCTGTCAGTCTCAAATCGGGCCGGCGACAGGTTCGGGCATTTGTACCACGAGTGGCATAGTGCGGATTCAAATACGGCAGGCGACTTTGGTACTCCATCCTGCACGTGGGAGGGAAAAACAAAGGGAAGAGCTGACGACAAAAGAGTCCGGGGAAGGTATATTTAGGTATCAGCAATAGCGTGACGTCAGATTCTTCAAAACGGCAGATGACACTCGTAGAAGGCCCTCGGCTATGGGGTTTATCTTCTTTTCTCAGCGCTTAGTAGGAACTGATTTCAGATCCCACAGATCCGTATTCCATCTTTGATCTGTTATTTTTAAACTTTTGCTGACCCCTTGGACCCTTATTAAGGCCTGGTGGGGATTATACGCTGGGCTATTATTTAGAGGCGAATGGTGTGAACCTGAACTTTGGACTGGCGAGTCACGAGGGGCCCTCTATCACATGAGATGAGGAGATGGAAGATGCACGGACACCGTCCTCAAGACTCGGCACATCCCATGTTATAGGTATAAGAGCCTACCATCATAGATAGGTAGGTAGTAGTACCCGACCTCAACATCCAAGTTGATAGGTACTTAGCCTGCCCATCAAGTTTACAAAAATCTACCAGTTTACGCTAGTGGGTGGCGGCCAAAAGTCGGGTACCACTTGATCTACCGTCTAGTACCTCTCGCGGTACCTTCCACCGGGAAGATCCCTTCCGCCATCACTTTCATACTGCGTCTTAATCTTTGTCGAGGTCGAAGCAAGCCACCGACTCCGGCTTCCATATCACTGCTGCAGATACGGAATATTCGCTGCAGATATTCGATACCCCTGGCTTCTACGTGTTTTCCGAGGACCCTCTTTTCCCAATCGCCCATGTCGCTAACCCCTGGCAACGCTGGCAGGCAGTCATAATTGCTTCCTCTTTCGTCGCCATAGCCCCCCCTAGGAACCCCGCCGCGTCGCAACGTCCACCGCCCGCGCCACTGCTTCAGCCTTGGGATCGGATTGGGTACAGTGTCCTCCCGCAGTGTTCGCAACCTTAACCTTGTTAGACCTGCCAGCTCCTTGCCAGCTCCTTGCCTCGCCCATTCCAGCTCCTCTCAACACGGCGACGGCGTCTCCGCCTCTGTCTCAATTATGGGCATCGTCAGCAGCAGGCCCGACGAGCCTGGCACCATCTATCTCCGAGACCAGAATCGATGTACGACACACATTGCATCATCCCCACGTTTGACAAAGGCTGACACATGCGATGCACAGTATCCATCGCCTCTTGTGTCATTAGTAGTCCACGAAAGCGCACCTCTCTCAACATCGTTCCCAATGCATTCCCTGCTACAAGAGTATCTGCATCTCGGCCCTTGGGCGATAGCGCTCCCGTCGACTTCATCCAGGTCCGTGGCATCGGCATGGCCCCTCATTTGTCCAAGACTTGCTGGCTGCTCTTTTGTGTTCTCGCTGCTGACACGCCCTCCCCCTCATCTAGGATCCAGAGCTATCAGCCTCTACCGGTGGTCCAGCGTTTCTTCTCAGACTAGCGAACGACGACGAGCTTGTCTTTACCTTCACGTTTGTTATCCGACAAGTACAACAACTGGCGCAGGCTGCAACAGGAGGTGTAGAAGCAGTCAGCACAGTCGACACGCAGATCAACGGCCTCACCTATGTCTGTGCCTCCACTCCACGAGAAGTCGAGAACCTCGTAACAAGAGAATTCCATGCCGATCCAAACTTGCACAAGAATGCCAATGTCGACCTTGTCGGCTCCTTCGCCACTGGAGGTAGCCCTTCGGTCACTTTCGAGTGGTCTTGGAAGTGGAAGCCCCCCAAGGTACCCGAAGATAAAGGTGGCGGATGGAGGAACTCTTGCAGTGTAGGCTCTCTCCCTGTGCTTTCCATCTCACCTCGACGTTATTAACCATCTGCTAGTTCGTCGAGTACGACCAGCGAGCTCACCGACTGGATACGCTTGCCAGCTTTTCCTTCTGGGTTACCAGTGAGAATCCTAGCCTCCTTCTTGACCGGTGCTCGTCCCCTCCTAACTCGAGAACAGGTACATCTCCCTACATCAGCCATCCAAATTCCCCTTCTCCGTTCCTGCTCCATGCCCCGCCAAAGGCCCGGGTCGCGTCCGCCCAGTCGGTTGAGTCCAGGATAAGCACCACCGACTACGAAGAACCCAAGACCCCCCAAGCGCCAACGTACGATGCAAGTAACGGTGGGCTATTAGCCCCGCCTCCGACTGCAAAGGAGCCGATCAAGGTCGATATCTCATGCCCCCGGCCCGGCGAGGATATGACGGTTGCGGACGATGGTCCCGTCTTCCGCGCCACCATGAAGGCGCTAGAACAGAAAACTGGCAACATGAGGATGCAGACGAAGAGGCTGATCAAGAAGGCGGAACAAGCTCACATTTCACAACTCGAAGCCAACGACACCCTGTCTGCCTTCTTCGAGGCTTTGAAAGAGGCGTCTTCTACCAATGCGAATGCCGTCCAGCCTGCTATCGAGCATTATTTCGAGAAGATTGCGCGGGAGATTATGGCGTACGAGCGCCAGAACGCTGCCAATTTTCACAAAATTATTGTCGAGCCCCTGAATAAGCTCTACACCATGGACATCAAGCAGGCCGAAGCGAAGAAGCGTGACTTTGAGGAGGAGAGCAAGGACTACTACGCCTATGTTGGCCGTTATCTTGGCCAGCGGCACGAGTCGGTGAAAACCAAGAAGCTCGCCGACAGTGACTCCAAGTACCAAACGAAGCGCCGTAATTTCGAACTCAAGCGCTTCGACTATTCCTCCTTCATGCAGGATCTCTCCGGTGGCCGCAAGGAGCAGGAGGTGTTATCGCATCTCACCAGGTATGCCGATGCCCAGGCCACCTGTTTCCTAGCTGCTGCGAATAAGGTTGAGGCCCTGCTTCCCGAGTTGGAAGCTCTGTCCAACGAGGTGCTCGAGGCGGATAAGGAATATCAATATCAACGACGCGAGCGGGAGGAGAAGAGAAGGCTGCTCGAGAAGAGCAATCTCCCCTATATCGAGCCCGAAACTGCCCCTATTCTAGCCAGCGCAGTCCAAACGCAAGGATCGAATGGAAACCTCTCCAATTCGGATACGGAGCTTGGCAGAGCCGATAGCACTGGTTCGCAGTTGAGAGGCGCGACAGCGACCACGACGAACGCAGCAGCAGCCACAGCAGCGAGCGATTTCTCGAGGTCGCCCGGCAGTTTGACGCACCATTCGTCTGTTGGAAGCCCCCCCCAGAACTCTAAATTCAGGGGCATCCGCGATCTTGAGGAAAGAGACCCGAACCAAGCCGCCAACGCCGAGAAGAACGGAACCCAAAGGAAAGAAGGCCTTTTATGGGCTCTCAATCGCCCGGGTGGACATGTAGACCCGCGAAATTTGAACAAACAGGGATGGCACAAGTATGACCCAACCTCCCCACTTCTGCTCGCCCCGTTTCACTAATCAATCTGTCTGGCTAGGTTCTGGATTGTACTCGACCAGGGGAAGCTTTCTGAATACAGTAATTGGAAGCAGAAACTAGATCTACACATGGAACCTATAGACCTGAGGATGGCGTCCGTAAGAGAAGCGAGGAATGCGGAGCGCCGGTTCTGCTTTGAAGTCATCACTCCGCAGTTCAAGCGGGTTTACCAGGCAACTTCCGAAGACGATATGAACACGTGGATCACGGCCATCAACAACGCCTTGCAGAGCGCTGTGGAAGGACGAGCATTCAAGGACAAGCCGACGCCATCTCCAAGCAACTCGGCCTTTGGAAAGAGAGACATTGGATCAATCCTGACGGGGAAGAGCCCATCCCTTAATCATGGCAATCACCATACCACTGCAGCCCTCCCGGTCAGGCGTACCACCGTCGGGTCTAGGCCAGGAACGTCTCGTAGCACCAGTTTCGATGATAATCCGATGAAGCTGCTCCAGATGCTCCGCGAGAATGACCAGGGCAACCTGTGGTGCGCTGATTGCGGGTCCAATTCCAAGGTCGAATGGGTCTCCATCAACCTAGGCATCATTCTATGCATCGAGTGCAGCGGCATTCACAGATCTCTAGGCACACACATCAGCAAAGTACGATCACTGACCCTCGACATCACTTCCTTCACCCCAGATATCGTCGAACTCCTCCTGCTGGTCGGCAACCGGGTCTCAAATATGATATGGGAGGCCAGGCTGGACTCGGCCGCGAAACCGACGCCTCAGTCCACTCGTGAGCAGCGACTCAAGTTTATAACTGCGAAATACGTGGACCACGCATTCGTGGAGCCCCTCTCTCTAACTCTGTCTCGATATCCCTCGGCGGACGAGACATTACTTGCAGGTATCAAGAAGAACGAGATCCAGGAGGTCCTTTACGCGCTGGCGCTCGGGGCCACTCCGAACGCCACCGACAAGTCCAGGGGAACACACGCCGTCTTCCTAGCCCTTGCGGCCGCAGATCCGGCGCCCCCGTCACCTACTCCCACTCCCACACCGACGCGGAGCACCGAGGCCGCTGACAAGGTGGTGACCTTCCCCGTGGCGGAGCTGCTGGTTCAGAACGGCAGCGAGATACCCCTCGTGATGCCGGCGTTCCCGCTCAGCCGCGCCGCCCAGGGGTACGTCGAGATGAAGCGCGGCCGCAGCGCGGCCATCAACGCGGCGGGGGCCGGGCCCGGGACCGGGCTCCACCACGACGGCGTCGGCTCCCTTCCGCCCGGGCAGGGCGAGAAGCTGATGCGCGAGAGGGAGACGCGCCTCCAGAAGCGCATCAGCGCGGGGGGCCGGCTGGCCAAGTCGCCCATTCCCGAGCGATAGGTCGCTTGCGGTATACCGTTCCTGGGGAGGCAGTGGTCTGACCTGTCTTGACAGGCCAGGCCCCGTATACCCGGAGGAGGGATGTTGGCGGATGTAGGATCCTTGTTTGGATATGTGTAATTCTCTTGACGAATTTTCTACGATGCATCACGCTCGCTCACGAAAGCATGGCATGCCAGTTTGGAAAGAGGGCATTATTCCTCCCTACGGGCGCACAGAACATAAAACATGGTCTTGGTTTGGGTTTCGTATTCTTCTACTGGGGATAAAACCCGCGGCGCGCGGGGGAGGTCATGGATTCGCTTCTATCGGGATGGCGGCGAAGGGAAGGCCGTCCCTGAAATATTGACATGGTCGAGGATCGGTTGGTTGAATGGCGGGACACCATGTCGCGAACAAGGAAGAGTCCAATCTCTAGAGGGGCCACACGAGGAGAAACAACAAGGCTAGGCAAACGTCCTTGGGTTGGTGGGCCATCCCATGAATAATCCTGTGCACTTTTTTGAGGAGGCGCAGCTCACGAGCCCCTTGGGTGTGGCCTGAAGATGTTCGGTGCCCAAGTAGGGATAGAAGGGAGGGATGGATTTGGGGAACGTGTGGCAAGCCCTCTTGTCTCGGGAAGTTCCTTCTCTATGGATAGTGGTAATAGTAATGAATGCATGTTGGATGTGAGACATTCACAATGAATACCATCTGGTCTCTCTCATCGTGGTGACTCTTGGTCGGACGGTTCGCTACTATCTTGTCCATTTCATCTATCTAGCTCCCTATCAGGATGCCCACTTTGAGTATCGCCATAGGAGGTATGTTTCGAGGCGCAACACCTCCAGATCCTATGAACTTTTTTCGAAATAGGAAGACAGACACCGATGGCCCCGACATGCATCATTAATTCGCGCAATGGCAAGGGATTTGCATGCCATGTAACCGCAAGAGAGATAGACCATCCACGAGGAGAAATAAGAAAAACCAGAACCCGAAAATATTCCAGAATCCCCATTACAGATTTCCGAACAAGAGAAACCCGTAGAGCGAAACAACCTAGCTTCCTCCCAAGATGACGAGGAAAATTCCAACCCCCCCCCTAACCTCTCCCCCCTCTACACTTTCCACCCAAATTTCCACCCTCCCCAAACATCCAATCACCGCCCCTTCGCCTTCCCCTTGCCCTTCCCCTTCCCCTTGGTCACCGCCGTGGAGCCAATGTCGTTCTTGGAGTAGCGGCTGCCGCCGTCGTAGCCGAACAGCTCCTGGTCCCCCTTGCCGCCCATCTCGACGAACTCGCGGGCGTCCCTCCGGTCGGCCGGATCGGGCTCCTTTCTGGGTCCGGCGGGGGGCTGCGGCGGCTTGTTGCTCGACGGGTTGGGGTTCTTGGAATAGATCTTGAGGTCGGGCTTGTTCTCGCCCATGGGCACGCGGTTCGTCACCTGCACCGTGTTGATGGACGCGAGGAGCGTCCGCTCCCGCGCAATCCCGCGCCGGTTGACCTCCAGCCCTGCGAGGCCGCTCACGAGGCCGTTTGTGCTGTCGTTGGGGTTTGGCATGTTTGCCGTTATCCACGGGTGGCTGAGGCACTGGTCGACGGTGAACCGCTTGTCCGGGTCGACCACGAGCATGGAGTCGATGAGATCAACTGCGAGTTGTTGTGAGCGTTGCGAGCCAGAGCCCGTGGAGGTGGCGGTGAACTTACGGGCTGGATCTCCCACGGAATCCCAGTATGGAGATGGGTAGTCAAAGCGTCCGCTCTTGATCTGTTGTGATAATGTGTACGGGAACTCCTTGGAGTAGAGCTCGTCCGAGAAAGGCGGGAAGCCACACAGGCAGATATACAGCACCACTCCGAGAGACCAGACATCGACGGCTTTGGTGTACTTGCGGTGTTTACTATCCGCCAAGATCTCCGGCGCGACGTAGCTGGGCGTTCCGCAGAGTGTGGTGGTAAATGATTCCTCTCCAATGATCTTCGCCAGGCCGAAGTCGGCAAGTTTGACGTTGGCCTCTTTATCCACGAGCAGGATGTTCTCTGGCTTGATATCTCGATGGACGATGTTACGATCATGCTATCTCGTGTCAGCGGGGGGCGGTGAGTATGATCGAGGGGAAGACCTACCAGGTATTTGATGCCGTGAAAGAGCTGTAGGAAGAGCTTTCTGGCCTCGGCCTCGGAGAGCTTCTGCTTCATTACGATATGGTTGAATAGCTCGCCTTCGGGTGCGAGCTCTAAGACAACGTAGACCGCGTCGGGTTCGTTGAACGTATCCTTGAGGCAAAGAACGTTCGGGTGGCTGACGCCCATAAGAACGGCAATCTCTTGTTGGAGTCCCTCGTTCTTGGATCTTTCCTCCATTCCCGGCGTCTTGGTGAAGATCTTGACGGCGTAGCGTTGGCCGGTAGACTTCTCGACACAGAGGTAAACCTCGGCGAAGTGACCCTTGCCGAGTTTCTCAAGAGGGGTGTATTGTTGTAAGAAAGCACTTGTTGAGCGGCTCTTTGGGTATCTGAAAATAAAGCGAGCCTTATCCAAAACGGCGATCTCGTCCTGTTCTTGGAGCTCTCTCCGCTGGTTCCGACCAACCATTGCTTCGTTGACAAAGGTCCCGTTGCTTGACAGATCCTCGACGATAGCTACTGTGTCTTTCCCTTTATTCTCAGTGAAGAACAGGCAATGCCGGTTGGAGACTATGGGGTCATCGACAACGATGTCTGGGGAAACGTTAGTCGGGAGCTGGGTGCAGGGCGTTAGGAGAGACATACCACACTCGGGGTGCCGTCCTATCAAATAGCCACCGGCCTGACCGTTGACCTTGGTATCCTCGTCCTGTGCAGCAGACTTCTTCCCCTTTTTCTTTGGCTCGCACGAGTCTGCACCTGCGGATGGGCGGGTGAGGGGGCAGGAGCCCCTTTTCTTCATCACCAGGCAACGGCCGCCGTACCGAGTATCGAGAGGGAAGAGGTAACCCCATACCCCTTCTTTAACCTCATCCTCTACCTCCTCCGACAGCGCGGCATTCGGATCGACGTACTGGCTTGGGAATGCCTGTGTGTCTTGAGGCGGGGACGAGAGCACCTGGGCCTGAGAGAAGGTGTCTTCAATGGTCCGATGAGGAACTTGGCTCGGCCGGCCTTCCGGCGGTGTCGCAGTAGCTTCCTTGAACAGCCCACTCGACTCGTCGGTAGTTAAAGCCGTCAGGGGTGAGGGCAGCTGGTGCTTATTCGAAATCGGGGTCTTGTGCGGTTCGACGGAGTCGGATTTGTGAGAGAGCCGCTCTGAACGGCGTGGTTTCTTGAATGACTCTACGGCTTCAGGCGAGCCCTGGAGGTAACGGGTCAACTTTCCAAACATATTCTGTGACGCCATAGGCCCATAGCTTGGCCTGGAGTGCAACCTACTCGAGCTCTCTTGAGGTGGCTGCCTTCAGCTCTGGGAGCCATGACTTGAAATGGAGGCAAAAAGCCACGGACTGGCGGGGTGTGGACGCAAGCTAAGTAGTCAAATTCGCGAATTGACGGCCTCAGTGGGAAACCGGGAGCCCTCTGCCTCGTTGGAAGCCGTGGGCAGCGAGGCCTGGGGTGCCGGGACAGCAGGTTCTAGCGAAAGAGCCTTGGACGGTGTGGATCCACCCGATTCCAGGCTGCGCCCCAGTCATGGGTGCCTCGAGCGCATGGTTCCCCATTGGCGTCCGGGCAAGCTTGGAGCTGCCTTAGCACGGCTCTTCAATGATCCGCTGCCCCTCGCAGCCTTCAAAGTGGATGCCCAAATGACGGCTGGTGCAAGGGTGTAGAATGAGATTCGAGTCACGCTTCGAAGTACATCCCCCAAGTGTGACTGTTGGCCTCTATCAGGTGTCGTTTCCCACCTGCCAACATTTTCCACCGTGGGTTACAGAACTTACAGGGCGAAAAGGAAACGTCATACAAGCTCTAGACACAGTCTTTTAACCAGGGACCCCGTTAACCTGCATGAAATCGCGGGTATGTTCCACGCCAACATCAAGGTATGTTGTACAGCACATGATGGTACCCCAAGATAGTACCTACGCCCACACTAAGGTGACGGTGATAGCCATCTGGTTCATTTCATTTATATCGTATGAGAGAAGTTCGAAAGGCAACCGAAGTAAAAACAAAGATTTGATACGTTTATTTGTTTGTATTAATGGCTTTTTCTTGCGGTAGTATGTAATTGTATTTTCCTGTCGTGACTGCCAGTGACCGATGGATACACTTTAATCATGCCATCTCCTACCACCTTCGCTTAAATATCCCCAACCGTCCTAGCCCCCTCCTTCACGTGACAGCTCACCACACAGAACGGCGAAAATGGCAGGCCCTCAGGGTGGCCCGGAAAAGTTCGTTGGTGGGGAGGGCAGCAAGGCCAACTCCACCAGCACTGAAGTAAAAAAAAGGACCAGTCCTTCCTCTACGGCGATTTCCCTTCAAGGAGCCTCTATCCCCGCTCCTCGATACTGCCTCACCTCCGTCGATCCGTAAACCACCAGCTCAGGAACCTGACGACGGTGAATTCCCCGAAGTGCCCTCATTTTCCCTCCTAGGTGACGGTCCAAGCTTCTTTACCGACCCAACTTCACGAAGGAACGCCTCGACTTGGTATCGCGCAAGCTCGAGAAACTCCAGCGCAAGATGGCGCGTCCCCAGCTCATCTTCGTGGACGGCTCGTTCGCCGAGCTGGCCCAGGAAATAGCAGATTACGTCCAAGTTGGAGACCAGGTCAAGCCACTGCTTGAGAAGGAGGAGAACGAAGACGCGCTCCAGGCCATTGTCAAGGCCTCGAGCCACCTCAACACAGTGCCGGAAAAGGAGTTCACTTCGGCCTACAATCTCCTTATCCACCTCGTTCTCCAATCAAAGAACCCAAAGAAGTACCTCCCGATCGTCTGCGGGAACCTTCTGAAACCCATCACATCGTCACCAGTCCACGGCGTAACCCTCGCCGCGAATGCGCTCAGCACGGTCTTCAACCTGCTCGAAGAGAGTAATCCGCTGCGATATAATGTATTCATGCAGATCCTCCGCTTCATCAAGCAGCACGGCCAATATGACCTGCTCAAGCCCCGCCTGAAGAACCTGCCGAAATGGCTGAAGGATTGGGATGTGGATGAGGAGGACGAGCGCAAGCTGTACGTCGAGGTTGCTGAGATTGCAGCCGAGGGCGGAGATGACGAGTAAGTGGAAACCGAGTCCGAGCAGAAGAGCTCTCGGTTCGAAGTCAGCACCACTGACATAACATCTTGCAGGGAGTCATACCACCATCTTCTCAAGGCCTTGAGCTCGTTCGACCGGGAGGATCAGGAGGAGATCACCTCGGAGGAAGCCCAGATGCTTTCCCTCCGTGCCCTGCGCATGGCTCTGCTCTCGCCCACACAATTCGACTTCCAGGACCTCCGATCGCTGCCGAGCGTGCACGCACTCAGCGACTCTCACCCCGTGTACTCGCAACTACTGGATATCTTCACCGAGCAAGATCTCGAGGACTACAACGACTTCAACGAGGAGCACGAGGGCTTCATCGAGAAGGAGAAGCTGGACCACGAGAAGTTGGAGCGCAAGATGCGCCTGCTCACCTTCGCCAGCTTGGCCGCGAGCACTCCGAATCGCGAGATTCCCTACCAGGGCATCGCCAAGGCACTCCAAGTGCCACTAGAAGAGGTTGAGATGTGGACGATCGACGTGATCCGTGCGAAGCTGGTCGAGGGGAGGTTGTCCCAGCAGAAGAAGGTGTTCCTCGTGCACCGCACCACCTACAGGGTCTTCGGCGAGAAGCAGTGGCGCGAGCTTGGCACAAGGGTCGATCGGTACAAGACGGTCGTGGACCACCTCATCACCGTCATCCGTCGGCAGGAGAGCGAGGTGGCTGCCCAGAAGGAGCGGGAGGTTCAGGAGATCGAGCGCAAGCTGGCAGGTGCAGGCATGGGCGGCGGAATGGGCGGCGGCGACCGTCGTCGTGGCGGTGGCCAGCAACAGCAAAAGCCGCGCGAACGCGACGAGAATGACGACTGAAGCGGCTCTCTCGCCATGACGGCTAGAAGGCGAACAACGAACGTCTTCCATCTGGCGGCCAGGACCGGGGACTTTGCCACGAATAGACAGGCGCCTATTGCTACAATTTTTTTTGCTAACCGGCACATGCCGACCTTGCTTTCTCTCGCCGATCCCCGGTACCAGAGTAGTCAATGATTGCGATCATAGGGGGTTTACGACTGCATAGCCAGGCAGGGGAAAAGGTGTGCCATTCATGATTGCAGTCGGATCTGCAAATAGAAAAGGAAATCAAAGAAAGGCAAGGCATGGATGGCCATGAAACTGCCAGAAGATCAAGTTAAACCATACACCGGGCCAATTCTCGATCCGCGATGTGAAGACGCCCCATGCTCCGCTTTCCGAAGTCTACATGTTTATAAATGCTGTCCCAATTCTATCCCATCCAGACTAGAACCATCCTTTCGGTCCTCTCTCTCCGCTTCCCTTTCCACCCCTATTCGAGCCATTCCCCTTCCCGGGCCCTTCTTTTCAAAAAAGGAGCTTCCAAAAAAAGAGAGCGGAAAAAACTCAGAAGTCCTCGCCCAGCCGACTCGCCAGCTTAGCCCGCGTATCCTCGTAGACGGCGTCGGGCCCGGGCGTGGCGTCGACCCTGACGGCGCGGCCCTGGGCCTCGTAGTACTCGACGACGGGCATGCTGGTGTCGACAAAGGTGCGGAAGCGCTTGCGGATGCTGTCGGCGTTGTCGTCGGCCCGGCCGCTCGTCTTGCCCCGCTCCAGCAGGCGCCGCTCCATCTCGGCCTCGGGGCAGTCGTAGAACAGCACCAGCCGCGCCGGGCACACCGCCTCCTCGAACCGCAGGGCTTGGTCCATCTTGCGCGGGAACCCGTCGATCAGGAACCGGCTCTTGCGATCGCCGCTGCTGCTGTTGTTGTTGTTGGTGTTGCTCTGGCGCCGGGTGATTGCCTCGTCCATGGCGTTCTCGAGCAGGCGCACCGTCACCTCCATTGGCACGATCTCGCCGTTGCGGATGCAGTTGCGGATCAGGTCGCCGAACTGCGAGCCGGGGCGGTCCTGCTCTGCCCGCAGGAGGTCGCCTGCCGATAGGTGAGTGAAGCCGTGGTCGCGCACCAGGTTGGCGCACTGGGTGCCCTTGCCGGCGCCCGGGCCTCCTAGCACGAAGAGCACCGTCACGTCTTGTGGGGAGAAGGTCGGCGTCGACTTAGAGGGGGAGGACCCCGAGGGGGCTTCGACGGCGGGCATGGTTTCTTTTGTTTTGGTGGGGGGAAGGAGGGGAGGGTTTACGGCCAGGCGGACGCAACGACAAATGTTGGCGCCGTGGCGTGTGCGTCCTTTTTTGTTTTTGCTTTTTTTATCGGCAAAGCAGAGCTCTCTGTAACGAAAGGCGTTTGCGAGAATTATAATTCGAGGACGGAGCTCTTGCGGTGTCTTCCCACTTCCCCCCTAATCAATCGGCCCGTGCGCCTACTTGCCTCTCCTTGAAGCTCAGGCTTGAACTTTTATACTGGATCCTGATTGGCTAGATGGACCATCCATTTGACGCCCAAACTTGGGCATAAGGAGATTGTCATCTGGTACAAGTGCAACACGTTGTGCCGTTGTCCGATCACACCGGCCAAAGTCAATAGCACAAGCCCGGTCCAGATGACCAACAGTTTAGACGATGAAGAAGTGCCATTTCTAAAGGAAGGTACCTCACTTTCTACCACCCCCGGTTCAGACAGGCCGCCGACGCGAAACGTTCTCTTTAAATGATACATGCTCCCCGTGATTAAAGTTGTAAGTTGTTTGACCCTCCGTTTACGGACCTTCCAAGATCCAGGAATTCCTAGTACTCCGCCAAACACAAGAAAAAACGCCCCTGGTATCCCCAAAATGTCTCCAGCTCAGCTCAGCTGGACAAGAAAAAATCCATGTACAGAAACAAAAACACCGCCGGCCATCCCCACATGCAGGTGCAGCCGCCTATCTCGTGTAAGCTGGGCCGGGACGAGACAGACCGAAGGTCGTCTGCTGCGGGGGCGGGCTCTTGACTGCCGCGTCGGCATAGGCGCCGGGGATGGGCACGGCATCGTACTGCTGCTCGCCGGGCGCGAGCGGGACGTGCGCGTTGACGTTCGGCGCCGCCGCGGTGGGTGCTGTTATTGCTGTTGGTGATCCCGAGCTGGGGGTCTTGGGGGTCGCCGGGTTGGCCCTGGTCGGCGGCGCCTGGAGCTTGAAGGTGGGCTTCTCGTTCATGCTGCTGCTGAAGGAGGACTGCGGCTCGACGAGCCGGTTGCCGCCGGGGGTGAAGGGAGAGGGGCCCGATTCGATGTCTCCGAGCGACCGGTATGCCTGGGGCGGGAAGCGGGGCGACATGGTGTACTGCGAGAAGGCGGGCGACTTGGGGCCAAAGCCGGGCGTGTTGGGGGCGGATTGTGTCCGGAGCTGGGCCAGGTAGAGATCGGAACGGGCCTTGTCGCGCATGTCCATGGACTTGTGCAGCTTCCTCTTGGAGTAGTAACGGTAGAAGACGATGCTGTAGAGAGTGATGCTGATAGCCTCGATGACGATCTCGATGATGATGCAGATCAAGGACCAGTCCTGCACTCGAGGTTAGTTTCCAGATTCCGAATTATACTTGGGGGGGTGGGGAGGCATGACAAACCTGAAGACGGCAAATCAGAGCATAGTCGACCTTGTCCCGGAAGATGTCAGAGCGGTTATTGTTCACGCAGGACCATCCCCAGAAGTCTTTGTTGTTGCTGTTGTTCCGGCTGAACTGGAGGACGCCAGCAGCCACAGCCCACATAACCATGCTGAAGATGAACCAGCCGACGGCAAACAGAGTGTAGTAAACGGCAACCTTCTCAGCCCTCATGTGACCACCACGGCAGTACCCAATGAATACCATGACACAGATGCAAAGAGAGACACAAGCAGCGCCTAAGACAACCTTCTGCGGCCAAGCATTGGTGTTTTCGGCCCATGCTGGCATCCCGTTTTGCTGCGGAAGCGCCTTGGTGGCATTGAAGATGACAAACGAGGTCGAGACCATGGAGAGGATGATCAGACTGCAGCTGAAGTTGACGCCACGGAGCGCAAACTTGGCCATGCGCACCCTCGTCTTGATTTTCTGTTGCATCATCATTAGCAACTGTCCTTGTTCCACTCAGGGGGGGCGAGAGACACATACCAGGTCCTTTGCCTGCTCCTTTTCGGTGGACAGCTCCCTCCTATCCAGCATCTGCTCTTCCTGAAACGTGGGGCTCATCATGTTGTCTAGCCTTCGGCCCGGAGTGCCTGGCACCTTCATGGCACTCTTGAGCGGCGATCTCGGGGTCATGGGAACTGCCGTGGACTCGCGGTCGGAGGGGTCGTTGATGTAGCCGAAGCCAATATCTCCGACCTCGTTCTTTTGTGCCCCGGCCCTCGTAGAGAAGGGCATCAGGCGAGGCTCGCTGGGCGAGTGGACGGCAGTGGCCTCAGCAAATCGGGGAGTCCTGGGAGGCTTGAGAGACGCCGTCGACGTCGAGGAGGAAGAGTCCGTCGACGGTGTGCGAACCGGGGTGAGGTTCAAGGCGAGGGCCCGCTTCTTTTCGTCGTTGATCGCCATTGTGGCCGACGATATCTGATGACGGGTTTCAATGAACGGTAGGAAGAGACCAGCCTTCTATATGGTGATGGTTGAAAGATGGGTGTTGTGTACGCCGACGACGACGTGACGGCGTGGAGTGAGCGCGTGCGAACACCTTGGAGAGTAGAAGCGAAGGAGATGAATATCAGAAAGGCAGAGACCAGCTGTCGAAGAAAATGGGAAGTCCAGGATCTAAGCCGGGTGGGGAGGATGGCCGTTTTGAATGGTGCCGCTCACTTCATTCGACCTCGTTAAACCCTTCTTGCTGCACGAGGCAATAAGTGGTCCAACTGGGGAGCAATGAGGTTGTCTAGCTTGGACCGGGGGGAGGGTTGGCGCCTAGTACTCTGATAGGACAGCTCTAAGAGTATCGAGTGAGGCTAGCCTATGTGTGGTGAAAAAATAGACGCCTAAGTGGGTGACAGAGTGGTACGGTGCTGCTAGTCGCTGTGGTCAAAGGGCGGCGCGTCCTGAGGAGCCGATCAGATGTAAGACTGCCGGGTTGGGCTATGAGGCTCTTCCCTGGAAACTTCCAGGAGTGGGTTTCACTGCGTCTTTCGCTTCCTCGCGAGGAAATTGAGGGTGTAAGATGGGATCAAGATGGAAGGAGAGCAGAGATTAACGGAGCAAGCAGGAGTCCAGGGCACCATCTAGATAAGACCCGGGTTCGAGAGTGTGGGAAAGAGGGGTTGGGCTTAACGACATGTCCAGAACCGGAAGATACTATATTATGTCGGTCTGTCGCTCGCGACCCTACCCTACGCCGCACCGCAGTACTTCCCGCAGCTTCTAGAGTCGAGCGGTACGTACGTCCCGGTGGCACGTCGAGGCCGGTGAGAGTCCTCTTTGGCCATGCTGGCGCCGTGGTGGTCCAGTGGGTGCGCAACCGTGACCTCGCATATGCAAGCAAGAAAAGTGAAGTGCCATTGATTGGGTCGGAGCGCCTGTTGAGAAGCCATGTTCAGGAAAATGGTGATGGCGACATGTGGTTGGGCGGCAAGGAGATCAGAGAACGGGGCCAAGACCACCCCCAGAGTCAATCCCGCCGCTCGAGCGCCCGTCAGTGCATCGAATCCATGCATTCTGCGCTCTCGTTCGCCGATACCCCTGCTTCCACCCGCCTTCCCTCCCCGGACCCCTGCTGTAGATGATCTGCGTTGATAGGTTCAATGCGACGCATGCACTTTGGCTCTCTTCCGCACAACCAATCAGGACGCGCGGAAGCGTGACGGCAAGACCACCCATCTGCAGCGCTCGCAGCTGGGCGGCAAGAACTTCGTTAGCACCCATCTGGTGTAAAAGTCCCACGAGTTGCACGGCCGACAGGACAAGAAGGGTTATACGTAAGCTAACAGTCATCATGTGCCCTGTGCCCACTGTCTCGCTATTGGAGCCAGCCCAGTGCTTTCCAGGCCAGTCGTCAGTCAACCCGAAGTTTCGACTCTGGCGCCGGTGGCGGTGGGCATGGTGGCATGTACACTAGAGACCACCAGACCCCAGGTAATGTCCAACGTCGCACACTGCCGGCATGTGTGCCAGGCTGTCAGCGCATATCTCACGCGTTCGCTGCCGGTGCAATTGCTGGAGTTGGTGGTCAGATCATGCACGACTTGATTGCCAGTGGTCGATTTTGAAGGCAAGACCCGTTCGGGAAGCCATGGTCGGTTTCATAGCGGCCGACTTTGGGTGGTGAGTGAGACCAATTTGGAAAATTACCTTGCCAGATGGGCAAATATGGAAGCACACCAGAGTGGACCGTGTGGTTGGTGCAACTAAATTGGCATTTTGATGGGTGTGTTAAACTTATTTTTAGCCTGGAGGCCAAATGCCACGTCCCGGCCCGTTACGTGCTCAACTCGCATTTGCATTTGCAGTGCCTATCTCACACCCTCCGTCGATGAGCACGGCCTCCTATTAATACTCGGTTTATCCATCCCTTCCGGCGACCCCAAGAACAAGATCCGCAAGATCCCTTGGTCTGTGCGAGTCCCGTGGCTCAGCCCTCGCGGGGGGCTAAAAAAATGGTGTGCCATCTGAGGTGAGCGTGTACTGCGTATTGACGCAGATTACATACAAGATGCCTCGCTCCATTAGAAAACCACCACTCCATCGCATGAGGACCGGCCTTCTCCTGGCCTCCAGCTCCGAGGGCCATTGCGCAGAAGTATCCAGATATAGCAGCTTGCCTACCTGAGAAAGAACCCTTATTATTGCCATCTTCCACGATCCAGCTTTCAGTCAGTAGAAGTAGTAATGCTCCACAAGCGAAAAGAGAAACACCGTAGTCAGCATCGTCAGCCTCGTACGACTTCGACGTTCTAATCTTAGTTTCTTTGTTCTCGTCTATCAGATTATGCCAATCAGGTGAACACAAAGAGAAAATGAGACTCCTTCCTTCCTTTACCTGGCGTTCGTAACCGTGACCGAGCTGGTTGCACGCTTGAAGCCCATTTGAACAGATGTGGAATGGTCGAGTCGACGGGACATCTAAACCAAGATAGGGTGTAATTACGAGCTCAAGAGAACGATCGACTTATATACTAGTTCACCAGTAGCCCATTCCAGCCTCCTTCTCAGTCTCCTTCACGCCCAACCCAAGTCCAAGCACAATCAACCACCGAAGACCTAGAACCGTGGGATAACACCAAAGACAGAGCTAGTCTAGCTAGGGTTTTGAGGGCGAATCATATGGAGCTGCGAGAGTTGGAGAAAGGTGGAAATAGGTACCTACCATACAAAAGCTTGCATATAGCTTCGTGATACTCGAAAGGAGGAGCACTGGCATCATCGCCCTTTGTTAACTGCGCAGCCCAGGGTTCGTTGGAAACCTTATCAGCTTATCAGGGAGCGGGGCTCTAAGCCTCAGAGACTAAAATGAGGTTAGCGTGGCAACTGAACCACGAGGAATGAGTCGCATCAATGACTGCACACCAAAATTTGGGCCCAAGACGAGGAAATCCAGTTTCCCTTCAACCAGACTACTGATCGATATTCCGCTCGACGGCAACGCTCTCAGGTTAACTCCATTCGACCTGGCGCCACCTGTAAGGAGATATCGCCAACCAATTTGACCTTTCTTCAAATAGATCTGCCGTCGAAGAATAGGATAATTGACTTGTCACCGAGGGGCAAAAATAAAAAGTTATCTGAAAACTAGGATACCATACCCCGCGCATCGAAGCAACATGGCCGCCAACGGGGACAAATTCGGAAACGATGTCGAGTCGGATTCCGACTCGGGCAATGAGTCTCACACTCTCGACGCCCAAGACCATTCCGACGACGAGATCGCCGAGAAGCCGCTGAAGTCGGCGTTGAAGAAGACTGACGCCCCGACCCCGGTTCAACGGCCGCCCCTGCCCCCCCAGACCGACCCGAAAGATCTCGATGTCAGCCTCTTGTCGCCCTTGACTCCCGAAATTATTGCGAGGCAAGCAACTATTAATATTGGAACTATCGGCCACGTCGCTCACGGAAAGTCGACTGTCGTGAAAGCCATCTCGGGCGTCCAGACGGTTCGATTCAAGAACGAGCTGATCAGGAACATTACCATCAAGCTGGGATATGCAAATGCCAAGATCTACCAGTGCGACAACAAGGACTGCCCGCGGCCGACCTGCTATCGGAGTTACAAGAGTGAGAAGGAGGTCGATCCCCCCTGTGAGCGGGAAGGATGCGAAGGGACATACCGACTCCTCCGCCACGTCTCGTAAGATTAGACCACCGATGCTTGCCTTGCACAGTTATTTTGCGGCCATGGCTAACCTAGGTTACTGCAGGTTTGTTGACTGCCCAGGGCACGATATTCTCATGAGCACCATGTTGTCCGGAGCCGCGGTCATGGACGCAGCGCTGCTGTTGATCGCCGGAAACGAATCATGCCCCCAGCCTCAGACATCTGAGCATCTGGCTGCCATCGAGATCATGAAGCTGGACAAGATCATCGTTCTGCAAAACAAGGTCGACTTGATGAGAGAAGAGGCCGCAAAGCAACATTACCAGTCGATCCGCAAATTCATCCGAGGCACAGTCGCCGGTGAATCCCCCATCATCCCTATCTCTGCCCAGCTCAAATTCAACATCGACGCCATCAACGATGCGATCGTCAACACCATCCCCGTCCCCCCCAGAGACTTCTCCCGGGACCCGCACATGATCGTCATTCGGTCGTTCGACGTCAACAAGCCGGGTGCCGAGGTTGACGAGCTGAAGGGTGGTGTTGCCGGTGGTAGTATTCTACACGGTGTGGTGAAGCTCGGCGACGAGATCGAGATCCGGCCAGGAATCGTTACCCGTGACGACAAGGGGGAGCTCAAGTGCATGCCCATCTTCAGCCGCATAGTCTCTCTCAACTCCGAGGCCAACGACCTGAAGTATGCCGTGCCCGGCGGTCTCATCGGCGTCGGCACCCGCATCGACCCTACCCTCTGCAGAGCAGATCGTCTCGTCGGCTTCGTGCTCGGCCTCAAGGGCCGCCTACCCGATATCTACAGCGAGGTCGAGGTCAACTTCTACCTCCTCCGCCGCCTGCTCGGAGTCCGGACCGCCGACGGGAAGCAAGCCAAGGTCGAGAAGCTTGCCAAGAACGAGGTCATCATGGTCAACATCGGGTCGACCTCGACCGGTGCCAAGATCGCCGCCATCAAGAAGGACGCCGCGAAGCTCATCCTCACAAGCCCTGCGTGCACAAACATCGGCGAGAAGGTCGCCTTGAGCAGGCGTATCGAGAAGCATTGGCGTCTCATCGGATGGGCCACAATTGCAGCGTAAGTTTGCTTTGCCCGAACACGGTTCCACAACTCTTGGGTGGACATTTGCTGACAACCCTCTCTCCGCGCAGTGGCAGGACGTTGGAGCCCAGCACCTCCTAAGGGTTAGGACAACTAATGCATTAGGTTGATAGTCGGTTCCTTGTAAGGTCAACGCGTGCCGAGGTATTCTGTGCAGGCCGTTCGTTCAAACGATGCCTATCAATGTCTGGAAGATTGAGGCGAACTCGCATGGCAGATTCGGGGTGGGGATGGGGTTGGCATTCCGAAGAGGCAGATTCATGGGAACTGGCGACGGTAGAGAAAACTCGTTGGGCACTCAGACAGACATGATATTAGTTTTCGATTGGTCATAGGTAGATAAGTAGATATATATCTATCTGCCTGCTGATTTCATTATGCCTCCCTATTTCCTCACTTTTCGTGCATGTTTTACGAGGTTCTCTATTACCCCCTCGAAGGCCTCCCTGTCCCCAATCTTCTCATCCGTCCGCTTCTGCCAGTACTCGAGCACCTCCTTCGCCGTCTCCTGCATCGCCTCCACCCTGCCGACGTGCGCCCTCAGCTCGTCGTCCGTCATCCCGTCGAGCGCCTCGTCCGTCGTCGTGCACACCTGCTCTGCGGCCACGAGGTCGAATGCCGGCTCCGCTGGCGGGCCCTTCCGCCTCCTTGACGCCCTTCCCGCGCCCGCGCCCGCGCCTGCGTCCGTGCCTCCTCCTCCTCCTCCTCCTCCAGGCCCCGCCGCCGCCGCTGCTCCAGCCGCCGCGGCGGTCGACCTGCCCTGCGAGTCGACCGACGCGCTGGACGCGTTCGCCCCTTCGCGCCGCAGCCGCGAGAGCGAGCGGCGGGCGCCGTCGGCGGACGAGGATGATACACGCAGGGAGCCGGACGAGCTGGCGGGCCGCAGCGAGGGGAGGACGAGCTTCTTCTGCTTGGAGGCCGGGAGGATCTCGTCCAGGTCCACGGGGACGCCGAGCGAGACGAGGAAGAGCCGCCGGATGCGCGACCGGATCCAGTCGGGCGGCTGGAGCGGCGGCGGCGCCACGAGCTGCGACCAGAGGGAGGCGCTCCGCGGCGTCAGGAAGACGGGGTTGTCCCCCCTGGGGGCGGACGGGACCGTGGGGGTGGGGTCGTCCTCGTCTTCGGGGAAGAGCGCGTCTAGGTAGGGTTCTGTGGCGGCGAATATGTCGTCTGTGTCGAGGCCGTCGAAATCGGGTATTGGCTGAGCGGCATTGTCAGCTTAGTTAGTAGCAGAAAGATATTGCCATCTGTTGGGACGTACGAATGATAATGTTGGAGGAGCACGAGGAGCAGGGGGAGCAGCCGCGGCTGGACTCGCGTCTGGCTGTGCATCCGGTTCTTGGAACCCATCATCGAAGTCTCCAAAGTCGGCTTCTTCATTCACTTCTTCAAAGTCGTCGAAGTCGTCCCCGAAGTCGTCCCCGTCTTCCTGATCTGCCCCTAATCCGGCACTTCGCGGCCCCGAGGACGACGGACTCAAAGCAGACCTCTGTAAGGCTACCGAGGATTTTCTCCTTGAACGTGCGGTATTTGGGGTCTTCAAGGCAGGTGATATTGGAGTATCTACGTAAGGAGAAAAGAGTCAATACAGGATAAGTCAAATACAAAAGGGGCCACCCGAGGTCAAGAGGGAAAAGGCTACGCATCCGTACCAGAGGCTTCTTCGCCGTCTCCACCCTTCACCGTTGCGCTCTCGGCCTTGAGGACCAGATCAGGCGGTGGATCAAACTTGTGTCTCTTCTCCACCCCCGGGTGCGTCACCGAGCCGTCCGTGTCGGGAGTCACCTCGACCACCGTCTTGGGAACGGGATGCCCACCGGGGGTGGGCGGGCGAGAACCTTCTTCCGACCCAGATGCCGGGCTCTTGTAGCTGGCATCGGGGATGACTGCTATCTCATCTGGCTCTGCGTCCCCTTCGCGCATCCGATAAGCCTCCGTGCCCGGGACTTCTCCGTATGATGGGTCGTTGTCTACTTTCTCAACCCTTGTCTTGGGAATGGGAGACGTTCGATTGGACTCGGCGGGCCCAGACTGGGCGTCGGAGAAGTGGTCGTCTGAATCCGAGGCATCTGGTGTTGAGGGCTAAGCATCGTGAAGGGCAGATCGGCGGACTGGACTGAGGGCTTACCTAGTTCGTGAGCACCGGGATCTGCCAGTCCTGTCCTTGTTGGTGGCGTGAGACTATCCCTTCTCCCCGACATGGTAGCTCAGGCAGCGGCTCAGGCAGCAGCTCACCCAGTCGTCTGGAGCGATATGGAGTTGCTTCGTCCTTTATAGATACGTGCTAGCACCGCGCCAGTCCAGTGGTGAGGCGACAAGGTCTTGCAAGAGGTTCCTAAATATGGGGTTTCAGATAGAGACGCGTTATAGGTCTTACGGCCAGGATAAGACTTCGTGGGGTAGTGCTCAGTAAAAATAGGCCAGGTTGACATCGAAGCGTTGGGAAATAAGGGTTCAATTCAGGGTCGTCACAGTCGATAGGACGTTGAAATTATGTAAGTGCGCTGGCCAAGTCACACACAAACGCTCGGACCAACAAACTAGCCCAGCCTAGCCCAGCCTAGCCTCCAAGGCTCTTGAAAAAGCTTACCCCAGGCGCGTCGTGGCTTCCAGGAAACAAAGTACTGCGTACCTTGAGGTACCTCCGTTGCCGTATCCTTTGGTAACGCATAAAAACAGCGGCCCATTTTCGCTCACCGCCTTCAAGGTCCTTCAGCTTTCTTGCAATTCTGCCCCAGACTTGCACTTCAGGCTCTGGCTTGCACCAATAGCCATCGGCCGCCTAGAGACATTCCACAAACACGACCGGCGTTCGACGCGGATTCGTCGAGCAAACGCATTAATCGGCATATTAACAACTGACTTCCTTCCGCAACATGTCGAACAACCCTGTTTTCAGTTTCTCCAGCGCCGCGTCCGGAAACCAATCGGCCACGACAACCTCAGCTCCCGCTTCAGGCAGTGTCTTTGGGCGTGCGGCAGGCCCACCGAGCCTTTCCTTCGGATCGTCGACTGGTGGAGCAAACAGCGGGCAGTCGGGCGCCGCCAATATGTTTGGAAATTTAGGTTCGAATACTGGTCAGAAACCCTCACTGTTTGGGAGCACCAGCACTGGGACAACTGGAGCTTCCAGTGCAACACCGTCTACGGGAGCCTCAATGTTTGGCCAGGCTGGCGGCAGCAGTGGTGGCGGCGGCCTTTTCGGTGGCGCTGCTAAGCCAGTGCAGTCTGGCGGAAGCTCTTTGTTTGGCAGTAACACTACCGCCTCCACACCTGGTACCGCTGGAAGCGCTCCTTCATCCAACCTCTTTGGAACATCTGCAGCGGGAGCCGCTTCCTCCGCCCCGGCCTCGAATCCGGCCACAACTGGCGCATTCCCCGCTGGCGGACTGTTCGGTGCAGCTGGCACGTCTCAAGCTCCCAGCACTGGCTCGTCCACGACACCTTCACTCTTTGCAAACGCCGGAAAGACAACGGCTTCACCCGCCCCCCAGTTTGGAGCAATGCCGGCTCCTCAAGCAACACCCGCAAAACCCATGTTTGGGTTGGGATCGACCACTCCGGCTGGTGCCCCTCCGACTGGCACTTCAAAGCCTCCTACAGCCGGCTTCTTTGGAGGCGCAAGCTCGCAACAACCCGCCAGTTTGCAACCAACTGCCGCGTCCTCTGTTTTCGGTCAAGCCCCGAAGCAGGCTGGAGGCACCCAGGCTAGCCAGCCTGCTGCGCCGAGTACCACTGGAGCTTCACCATTCGGCAATACCACTTCCACCGCTGCGAACCCACAATCATCGGCTGTCTCCCTCTTTGGAGATGCAGCCAAAGACACTGGTAGCAATCCGTTCGGGAAGAAACCGGAGACGGCCGCGCCATCATCGGGCCTCTTTGGCGGGGGCGCCACTCCGGCTTCCCAGCCAGCTCCTGCGTCCGGGGCGGCGGGCTCGCTGTTTGGTGCCAAGCCCAAGGAGGCGGCATCGACTACTGCTGCGCCGGCTTCAGGAAGTTCTGCGGCTTCAACTCTATTCGGTGGCGCTGCGACGAGCAAACCAAGTGGCTTATTTGGAGGCGCGCCAGCCTCTTCCGCTCCTTCGTCGACGGCTACCACAGCGCCAACGGCAGCAAAGTCCCTTTTTGGATCGACACCATCCAGCGCCGCGCCAGCCACGTCGGCGGCTACTCCTAGCTTATTCGGAGGTGCCGGCACAACCGCGACTCCAGCCGCAACTACGACATCCGCAACTTCCACAACTGCGGCAACTTCTGGCGCCACACCGGCAACTGCCTTCAAACCAGCAGAGGCGGCAGCGACCACGGCAGCTTCGACGACCCAGAATGGAAACACCGGAGCCGCCCATGGAAGCTCAACTATGGGCCCGCCGTCGCAGCTCCCTCGATTGAAGAATAAGACTATGGACGAGATTATCACCAGATGGGCCACAGATCTCTCGAAATACCAGAAGGAGTTCAAAGAGCAAGCCTCCAAGATCGCAGACTGGGACCGGCTGCTCGTCGAGAACGGTGAAAAGATCCAGAAGCTCTACCTTGGCTCCTACGAGGCCGAGCGAGCCAGTAATGAGATTGAGCGCCAGCTTGCTGGCGTCGAGAGCCAGCAGGACGAGCTGTCTGCATGGTTGGATAGGTACGAGCAGGAGGTGGAGGACCTGTTTGCCAAGAGAATCGGCGAGACCGAGCAGGTTGGCGGGCCGGATCAGGAGCGAGAGCGGACATACAAACTGGCCGAAAAGCTGACTGACCGGTTGGACGAGATGGGCAAGGACCTCTCCAAGATGATCAAGGAGATCAACGACATGTCCAGTGCTCTCAGCAAGGGCAGCAAGCCCGATGACCCGGTAAGTTTACGAGACACATTTGCTAGTCGAGGAGATATCTGTACTGACAAAAGCATGCAGTTGAGCCAGATCGTTCGCGTCCTCAATGGTCACCTCAGCCAGCTTCAGTGGATCGACACAAACGCTGCAGCGCTCCAGGCCAAGGTTGCCGCTGCACAGAAGGCGAGCAGCAACATGGGCAACCAGTATGGCGGCCCTGAGAGCGAGGCGGCGGAGAGCTTCTACAAGTCGTACATGGGTCGTCGCTAAGAGCTGAGCTTATGGGATATGGGATGCTTTGTGGTGGTGGGAAGCTGGTAATCAATGGTGGCTGTACGATCTTCCCGAGTGCTTGGATGGCGAAACAATCATGCAGACTACCATCTAGACTAGGAATCACAGAGCACAGAGGGAATAGCAGAGGAGCAGTGCGAATGATAGATGGACGGAGGTGCGAAACGCCATGTACATGTACAACTAAGGTAGTAAAGGCAACGGCCTATGAAGAACGGGGTTGCGCGCAGATTGACGTGGTCTTGCACTAGGTAGTTGCCCCGAGCTCCCTCGCTTTCCTATGTCCTGCTGTCTTCCAAGCTATAGGGCAGCCACGACCCTTACCACCAATGCATAGGTAGATAGATACACTTGTCGGTCGCCGCTCTAGTTGTGCTCGCCACCCTGATCCTTGGTGATCTCGTCACTGTGAGGGGGGGCTCTTGTTAGTTTTCCGTCGAGGCTCATCCAAGGGAGGGCCCCTAAGGGGCTGGGTTCCTTACATGTGTTCAGACAGCTTCTGGAGGTGCGCCTGCTGCTCAGCGAGCTTCTTCTTCAGCTCCAGCAGCTTCTCCTTCTCGCGTTGCTTGATGGCCCAGTCTTCCAACGCCTGCTCGCGGCGCTGGAAAGCGTCTCTGTTGGTCGCGGGAGGCGGCTGTCAGCATGATTTGTTCGCAGGGTCTCTGTCCAGATGCTCATGCCTGGACATTCGTCCAAGCTGGAGCATCTGGACACGCGGGGCAGGTGGGGATGGCCCCAGAGCTGGGTGATTGAACCTACCCTTGGCCGCCAGTCTTCGGCGGAGCCCCGGTGTCGCCTGCGGCCATGGCTCGGGTGGTGGTGGTAAAGGCTCTTGCCGAGGTGAGGAGGGAGGGGCGGGCGAGCTTGGTGAAGGATGTCCGAAGCATCTTGGGCAGATTTGGAAGGATATACCGGGGAATAAACAGCTTAACTAGATGATGCAAGCACTGTTATGGCGGGGAAACGGGCGTGGCACTTCAATTGGTGATGCACTATCTTTGGTGGAGGAATTGAGGCGTCGACGTCGGCCTCTTTGTACCTCTGGAAGGGGTGTTGTGAGTGGCCTGATTAGCACGCAAGTTAGAGGCGGCATTTTTTCGCCCAAGCTCCGGCTGCTGACGACAAGGCGGGGCGGGCTCTGAGCGCCTCAGGCTACAAGTTTCCACTGCTGGGACGCCTCGGTTGTCCAACAACTTCACCTTTTGCATAATCCCCTTTCCAGATCCGTAATCAGCTAGCTACCTTATGTAGCTGCCCAGAGCCTCAAGTTTCAGTCTTGACTAGGTTCTTAGACAGTTCCCCAAAGGTAAATCAGATGGCCGGAATTTATCGAACCCAGAGTTCTTTATCCTGTTGGCAGGACATCACCATAGATGAACATATTTTGAGTATTGCGGATGGCAGCAGCAATTCTCTGATGTGTCCAGTGTTTCCAAAGCCACGGAAAGTCTAGGTACCCTTTCACTGCAAAAGGACTACAGTTACTGTTTTTAGAATTACCTGTTCGATGCAGGGAGAGCCGCATGAATGAAACTTTGACCTCTATGCATCATCAACACTCCCGATTTGGACTCGAGGCTCCAAGCTCCAAACTGCCAGCCCTAAACCTGGCTGGGAGATGAAAGAATCCAATGCCTCCCCAGCCTACTAAGCGGTCTGCAGATAGGAGCAAAGACCTACCACGTATCTGCCGTCTCCCCTCGACCTGGAACTTGGAACGGCAGCTGTTCCAGGATTGCTGATACTGGCAGTGACGTTGAGGAATGCCGTGGCTGCTCTCGTTCTAGCCCAAAATGGAAATGAAGGTTGATCCTGCGTTTGGGCTGGGTTAGGTCATCACGTGGTCACATGCATCAGCTGGTCGGTGGTTTTTGGTCTGTGCGCCAGGGCAGGAGCTGTACAGTAGAATGAAATGACGAAAACGGTAGTGGGGAGTGGTACCGGGAGGTGCCCGCCTACCAGTCAGAGCTGCTGTGTACCCCAACCCCACTCATCTCCAGCGCATTTCCCAGCGTCTCAGCACAGGGAGCACTGGCGTCAATCACCCTTTCCGCCTCGCAATTTCACCCGCCCTCCCCAACTTTCCATCCACTGCATCAACACTGATCAGCCTTCCAAATCACACGGTCCCAAAAGGCAATATTCTTGTTTCCACCCTCCTCTCTACACCTCACCCAAAACAAAATCCTCCCTCCCACCACAACAACTCGCTGCACCCGCCGCAATTCGAATTTGTTGTGATCTATTTCCCCAACAAGCAAACAAACCAAAACACCACATCATTCCCGCCGTTGAGCGCAAAGGGTATGTATCGCCTACTCTCCTCAGCCTGCATCTTGTTGCCCCCTCTGTCGTCATCGCCTGCGGCCTCAACCTCTCCCCTCCCCTCCCAAGCATCGTGGATGCACCGATTGTCGCCTTTAGCAACGCCTTCAATTGCCACTGAAGGAGATATCGAGATGCCCCGAATCCCGTCCTGCCCTGGCGAACACGCGCCTCCGTCAGCTCATTCGCGCATGCCCCACTGGAGAGCGGGGAGCCTCCTTTTGCCAGCCGTGAGGCCAACACAAAGCATCAGTGCTGCTTCAGATTGCTTTCAGCACACACTGCCACTTGACGCGCCTACCTTCCATCTTCATCCCCGCTCGCCCCGTTCCTGCATCTTACCTGGCCCTTCTTCCGACCACCCACCACGCAACACTGCCTCGCAAATTTGAATCGGCCTGCCATCGCTGACAACGTATCTGATAGAAACCTACTTCGCAAAAATGGGTCACGAAGACGCCGTGTATCTGGCCAAGCTTGCCGAGCAGGCTGAGCGCTATGAGGGTACGTACCACCTGCTGGAGATTCGAGCCTGATCCCGGCGACGCTGACGGACTCTCATTGCCACACAGAAATGGTCGAGAACATGAAGATTGTTGCTTCCGAGGACCGTGACCTTACCGTCGAGGAGCGGAACCTTCTGTCTGTTGCCTACAAGAACGTCATTGGAGCCCGCCGTGCATCTTGGAGAATCGTCACCTCGATCGAGCAGAAGGAGGAGTCCAAGGGCAACTCCACCCAGGTCACTCTCATTAAGGAATACCGTCAGAAGATCGAGGGCGAGCTTGCCAAGATCTGCGAGGACATTCTCGAGGTTCTCGACAAGCACTTGATCCCTTCGGCGAAGAATGGCGAGTCCAAGGTCTTCTATCACAAGATGTTTGTCCACTCTCTCTCTCTCCACCTTTTCACGGTGGACTAGAACTCACAACCCCACTAGGAAGGGCGATTACCACCGCTACCTCGCCGAGTTTGCCGTCGGCGACAAGCGGAAGGACTCTGCCGACAAGTCCCTCGACGCCTACAAGGCTGCCACGGAGGTCGCCCAGACTGAGCTGCCTCCTACGCACCCCATCCGCCTCGGCCTCGCTCTTAACTTCTCGGTCTTCTACTATGAGATTTTGAACGCCCCGGACCAGGCCTGCCACCTTGCCAAGCAGGCATTTGATGATGCCATTGCGGGTAAGTCACTACCTCGAGCCATGATCCTGTGTAACCCCCCAGCGGGATGCTGACGATGCGTTCGCACAGAACTTGACACCCTTAGCGAGGAGAGCTACAAGGATTCGACACTCATCATGCAGCTCCTCCGTGACAACTTGGTGAGTGCCAGTCCCGCCTGAACAATCCCGAGACTTGTCTGCTAACGCGCCGCCTAGACTCTTTGGACTTCGTCCGAGGCGGAGCCTGCGGCTGCCGCAGGCCAGGCCGAGGCTGCACCGCAAGAGGAGAAGGCCGAGCAGGCCACCTCGGAGGAGCCCAAGGCTGCTGCCGCCGAGTAAACGGAGTGACACATTTCCCTTGCGTTCGTGATAACCCCCCCGGTCGATCTTGGCAAATCCCCTGGTGGAATGGTGTCTATGGAGTGTTCACTGGAGATCCCCCGAGAAACTTGCATGTCTCTTGTTTTTTTGCGCAAATACACCGTTCAAGTCTTTTGCGACGACTTCTCCTGAGGGCAAATAGGGCTAGAGTGCAGAGCACGTTGGGAGGGTTATTTTTTCCCGGTTGCTTGCCTTTTAGACTCTAAATGCACACGAAGAATCGTCTGGACAATAAATAAAAAAAATCCGATTTCTCAACGTCGTGATCTCAGTACCGCGTTTAGCTTCACTGCGACGGCCACCTTATCCGTGTATTGTCTGTAACAAAAATGCCCGTGTTTCTCTAGTCCTCTCATCTTTGGTCACGAACTGAAGTGCTGGCTTCTATGGCCCCTGAAGATCCCGATATCCACCCCAACCTCGCAGACGTCGGAATTGTCCTGGTACAACACCCTTGACGCAACAGACAGGATAGGTAGAACCGTAGAAGTTCACCTTGAAGGTTGGTCGACGGCTGATCGGGATGGAATTTAATTGTCCCAGCATTTACGCGTCTCAGGGGAACAGGTCAGCACACCAATGGACACATTGGCATATGATGGCTTTGCGGCGCACGTCAGGCCTCAGATACCCGGGGCCTGAACGCCGACCTCTCTACCTTGTCGTCGTCACCAACACCACGATTGGGAACTTCCGGTGCCATCCGTGGCAGCCCACGCAACACGCCAGCCGACACATGGTGTGTGCATCAGAGCTGATCAAGGCGGTTGGGTGGGAGGTGGAGGGGTGTGTCAAAATCTTTGCTGCTACAAGCAGGGGGGAAATTGAATTTCCGCATCTCTCAACCACCGCCCTCGCGGCCGTCGTCCGCCGACAACCGCCCGGCGCCGTCGTCTTCGTCTTCGTCCTCGTCCTCGTCCTCGACGACGGCGAACCGTACCCTCAGCCACAGGCTGCAGTCCTGGCACCCGACCATCAGCTCGCCGCAGTCGGCGGCCGCCTCGAGGTCGTCCTCGCCGAGCAGGAAGCCCCGCGGGTTGCCGCACCGGCACCCGCGGTACCACTGGTCCCGTTCCCGACCCTGACCCCGACCCACGTCCACGGCCAGGTCGTCCAGGTCGGCGGTCTCGACGCCGGTCTGGAAGTCGGCGCCTTGCTGCTGCTGCTGCTGTTGGTCCCCCGGATGCGGAAATTGGCCTAGCCTTAGCGCGCGGTCGTGGTCCGCCCGACGGCGCGGGTCGGAGAGGGCGGCGAGGGCGGCGGATATCTGGTCGACGGTGAAGGCCGGCTGGTGCTGGTTCTGGCGCTGGCAAGGGCCGGCCTTAAGGGTGGGGGTGTTCTCCTTCTTGTCCGGGTGGTGCCGGAGCAGGGCCCGGCGATAGGCCCGCTTGAGAGTCTGGGCCGGGTCGTCGGCGTTGTCAAGGGCTGCCGGGGTGATGTGCAGGACCTCGTAGTAGCTCGCCAGCGCGGCGTGGGATGCTGGGGTGGAGGACATTGTGAGCTGTGACACAATGGCTCCTCCTTACCCACGGACTAGTAGACCTAGGCGCTCCTTGCGTGAAGACCTTTTTCAATCGTGGGTGTGGTGTGGGAAAGTTTCCATGGAGGCATGGTGGGTTGCTTAACAGTGCGTATAGTGAAACATACTGTATATTCCTCGAGGTCACAAAAGGGGGGAACTGTGTCCCCGACGAGCTTGTTGTCAACGAAGATGAGCTCGCCATTGTCGTTGATTAGGTTGATACTGGAGAGCACCCTGTGGGTGGACTCAGCGTACTATCGCTTGACTATCAAACGCTGACGACGTTTGCCTTGTGCTATCTATGCTCCTTCAACCCAACTTTTCCAGCTGCTCCTCCTTGCTCCTCCTTATCGTCAGATTATTCGAGCTCTTCATGATCACCGTCCATTCTTCCATTCGACTTGTGAGAATGCACGTCCTGGCTTTCGTCGTCGGCTTCCTCTACATCGTCATGCTTCTTGGCGCGAGGGCTTAGACGTTCTCTATTTATTCCAACCCACTTATGTGCCCTCGGCCATAATGCTATGATGCATTCGGGAAGCTCACCAGTAATTTCATGCATCCCTAGCAAGTGATCATCATCAGTATCCTCCTCCTCATCGTCTCCTATCAAGGATAAGATAGCGAGGAGCCCAGAGGTCCATTCCCCCGTCTAACTGCGCCAGGAGCCTCGTCATGGATTCCGCGTCTTAGCCGAGGTCGGCTTCCCTCACTGCACCTAGGCCGAAGGTAGAAAACAGGAGACTACCAGGTTAGAGATCCCCTTGCACGGCGTCGTGGCGGCGAAGGAAGATAAAGCAGAGCCTGTTGAGGATCCGCTTGGCCGTCCACTTGGGATAACAAAGTAAAGAAACTTCCAATTCCAAAGCCGCACCTGCAGTAGTTAGTTGGATCCTTATAGCGGCATTAGAGAGAGGTCTTGTTTGTCGTCGGACAAGCATGCTGCCAATATGAAAAAGCACACTTAGCCTAGCGAGAAAGAACCAGGGGTAAGAGACACTCCAGGGCAACAGGGTTAAAAGGTGTATAAAATCGATGGAGATGTGGAGGAGTACTGATATGGCCCTGGGGATGGTGTACATTTGGTAATACATGCTATGCTGTACATGGGATGGAAATAACAGAACAGGACTGCCTCGTGGAGCACTATTTGGGGAACCTGGTCCAATTGCGCTTGCCAACCTAAAATCCATGATATTAGCATGTTTCCGGTGATCTGATTTAATTGTTGAACTGGTGACTTACCCTCTTCCATTCTCTGATAAGGTTCGGCATGTCGAGAATGGCCTTTCTCCTCTTCTCCATCCTAGAAATGTATAGTCAGAACATGGACAGGCGCAACTACGGGGGCAACTCCCCATGGGAAGGCATGCGTACTTGGCAATCAGCTGTCTCTCGTGCTTGTGGCCCTTGACTTGCTCTCCCACACCGGTACCCTTCACTCTCAAGCCATGCTCGACCCTCGTCCGTATCCGTTCCTCTGTGCCCTTGTTTGTGTATGGTAGCAATTCCTCAACGCCGTGTTCCCGCGCCAGCTTCACCAGATCGGCCTGTCTCCGCAGCGAGTAGACAGGGTCATGCCACTTGCCCGTTACCGGATGTTTCGTCACCTGGAAGGGGTTGGGGGTCTCGAGCTGGTAAGCAGTCTTCGCCGCTTCTGCCGGTTGAATGACGGCCGGTGGATATCGGGCAAAGAATCGTAGAAGCCGAGGCGGAAGCGACTTCGCCAATTGGACGTTCTGTGAGAGACTCGCCATCCCGTCGCTTGGGTTCGGAAGTTGTCGCCTGCTGACCAGTGTTGCCGGATGTGAGAACGGTTGCCGTCCAAAAAAAAAGAGCTTCCGCTCGGCTCGCGCCAGGGAGTGGATTGCAAACTTACAAAGAGTGGGGCAGGCGCAAGGCTGTCACTGTGGGGCTTAGGATGTTGGCGTTTTGCCCGTAAAATGTTAGCAGTACCTGGACAATTAGGTACCCACGACTTCTTCAATGAACCTATCTCACCTTCCGTCGGATATCCATACTGCTCGGATTCTGTCTTGACCCAACACACCGCACCTTACACCCGATAATGTCGCGACGTGAGCCGCCAGATTTGGGCGCGCTTTTGCGAAAGCGGAAAGCTGAAGAAGAGGTTGCGTCACGGCCGCGCTTTATCCCAAAGGCAGAACGACTGAGGCTCGAAGCCGAGAAGTTGGCCAAAGAGGAAGAGGAACGCAAGCGAAAGCAATCTGAAGGCTCGAAAAAGAATGGCACCAAGAAGCCAGCTTCGTCAGCTCCGTCGTCCTCAGCGACGGCCATACCCACAGGTCCCAAGGCCATGCGAAATGTCGAGAATGGCGATGATAGACGGAAGGGCGTAAATGGCCCAAACAGCAACCGGCCGCCGCAGAAGGGCAAGCGCGATGCTGAGGCCAACGGTAAATCTATCGAGAGCGATGACGAGGTAGAGAGGAGGGCTCGTTACATGGGCCCTGTTGTCAACCAGTCGACGTTCTCGGCGAAGAAGAAGCGGCGGAGGACAACCGACAAGAAGTTCAACTTTGACTGGGACCCCGACGATGATACCAGCCGACCGTCGGATCCTCGTTACGCTGAGCGACCGGAACCCGCCTTCAGACTGGGTGGCTACGGCGACCAGATGACAAGTGAGCTAGTTCGACGAAAAGCCGACGCCATCCGCAGGAGCGATCGCGAACACGGGGAGGAGCGCGCGCAACAGCTTCTGGAACAGCACCAACGGGCGAAACAGGCTTCCGAGCGGAATGGTCTTGGCAGACACTGGTCAGACAAGAAACTATCGGAAATGAAGGAGCGCGACTGGCGCATCTTCAAGGAGGACTTTGGCATTGCCACCAAAGGAGGTTCCATTCCGAACCCTATGCGGAACTGGGAGGAGTCTGGCCTTCCGAGACGGCTTCTCGACATCATCTCCGACGTTGGATACGACGAGCCTTCTCCGATTCAGCGGGCAGCGATCCCCATCGCTCTACAGGCTCGAGATCTCATCGGCGTCGCCGTCACAGGTTCCGGAAAAACTGCTGCGTTCCTGTTGCCTCTACTGGTCTACATCTCGGAACTTCCCCCGCTGACCGAGTTCACCAAGAACGACGGCCCATATGCCCTCATCCTTGCGCCAACCCGTGAGTTGGTGCAGCAGATCGAAGCCGAAGCAAGAAAGTTTGCTGGTCCTTTGGGCTTCACCGTTGTCAGCATCGTCGGTGGCCACTCCTTGGAAGAGCAAGCATATGCGCTGCGTAACGGAGCAGAGATTATCGTTGCCACGCCGGGGAGATTGGTCGACTGCATTGAGCGACGGCTCCTCGTTCTGACTCAATGTTGCTATATCATCATGGATGAGGCCGATCGGATGATTGACCAGGGATTTGAAGAGCCTCTGACTAAGATTCTCGATGCGCTGCCCGTCACCAACGAGAAGCCGGATACGGAGGAAGCTGAGAACCCGCAACTGATGAGCCGCTACCTGGGGGGCAAGGACCGCTATCGACAGACCATGATGTACACGGCAACCATGCCCCCACTGGTTGAGAAAATCGCAAAGAAGTATCTCCGGCGGCCGGCAATAGTGACGATTGGTAATGCGGGCGAAGCCGTCGAGACGGTCGAGCAGCGAGTCGAGTTCGTGTCGGGCGAGGACAAGCGGAAGAAGAGGCTTCAGGAGATCCTCAATTCCGGCCAGTTCCAGCCGCCTATCATCGTGTTCGTCAACATCAAGCGCAACTGTGACACCGTGGCGAGAGACATCAAGTCCATGGGCTTCTCAGCCGTTACCCTGCACGGAAGCAAGACTCAGGAGCAGCGCGAGGCGGCACTGGCGTCTACAAGGAACGGACAGACGGACATTCTCGTTGCTACGGACTTGGCAGGACGTGGTATCGACGTGTCGGACGTCTCCCTCGTCGTGAACTTCAACATGGCTATGAACATCGAGTCCTACACCCATCGTATTGGACGAACGGGTCGTGCCGGAAAGAGCGGCGTTGCCATCACATTCCTAGGGCCCGAGGATACGGACGTGCTGTACGACCTGAAGCAGATCATCTCCAAGTCTTCTATATCCAAGGTGCCAGATGAGCTACGGCGACATGAGGCAGCGCAATCGAAGCCAGTTCGCGGGGGGGCGAAGAAGACTGAAGACTTTGCAGGGTTTGGAGGAAAGGGTTCTCAGTGGTAGGGTAGGGTTGTAGGTGGCTATGAGATGCAGTTGGGATTTTGGGGCAATGGGGGTGGAATCAGGGCCTAGATGACTACAGACCTACGTACCCACGTAACCATATCTAATCTGATGCTTAGCAAGATCAGTGGATCCATATAGGTATGTAGCTTCGGACTATCGGTACCCAAATAGGTTGGTAGTAGCGCCGGTGCCGGCCACCGAATGTTTGACCCGCAAGTCTGCCCCTCCATGACGGGACCGAGGTCCACTTGATAGGGTACCCGCATTACCCTTTTTTCAAAAAATTTGGCAAGTGAATTCTCCCACGTCGGGATGCTGTGAGTGCCAGGCCGCCACAGCGACAGCAAAAAGACAGGGTTTCTCTTGTATCTGCGTCAATGATCAGCGAACAATTGAATCCCCCCACGGTGAATCTGTCTCCCTCGTCTTTGATGCCCACGATTCTCGGATTCCCATTTTGAGCAATGCCCTGCCAAGTGCCCCGCTCCGCGTATCGGATCACTCGTGGGCCCTCTGGAGAGCGGTGACCAACTGACCGTGGCTCGCGAATTTGTTGATGGGCGTCTCTAGTTGCATGTGGGCAAACATACAGCTTCACCTGTGTTGGGCTTCATCCCCGACTTTAATAACCGTTGCTTCACCCGGTCGTGTCGTTGGATCTCTCTTCACCTCTCACCCCGAACCAACGACCTGCAGCGCCGACCGAGCGACGATCCAACGATCCAACCGACGCTGAGCTGAGCTGCCAGCCTCGAACCAACTGCGTCCTCCTTACAGCGCAGCACTTCCGAGTTCCTTCCTCTCCCTCCAGCAGTCCTCAGTAATACATAATGGCCTCTCCCACCCAAGTCGAGGTTAAGCACCAGGTTCCCTTGTCAGCACCCGTCCCGTCGCATCTACCCCTCCGGCCGCGAACTGCCGCAATGGAGGCAGTGGAAGACCTGGTCTACGGTTCCGTAAGTTCCCTTGATCCTGAAAAAACACCGGCACGGCTTGCTGATTCCCAATGGACAGGTTGCTGGCATCGTCGGCAAATACATCGAGTACCCGTTCGATACCGTCAAGGTTCGGCTCCAGTCACAGCCCGACAACCTCCCCCCACGATACAAAGGGCCGCTCGACTGTTTTCGCAAGTCCATTCGGGCAGATGGTGTGCTGGGATTATACCGCGGCATCAGTGCACCCCTCTTTGGAGCAGCACTGGAGACGAGCAGTCTATTCTTCTTCGAGCGCGTGGGGCGCGAAACCATCTACAGGGCGGGCCTATGCCCTAGGGGCGACCCGCTCCCCCTGCCAGCCCTTTGGTTCACAGGTGCCTTCTCGGGCGTTTTCACGTCCTTCATATTGACCCCGATCGAGTTGGTCAAGTGCAAGATCCAGGTGCCAGAGACCGAGGGCGGCGTCGTCAAGGCGCCGCTGAAGCCGATCCCAGTCATTCGAGACATCTTCCGCCACCATGGCATAATGGGATTCTGGCACGGGCAGCTGGGAACCCTGATCCGGGAGGCCGGCGGATGCGCGGCCTGGTTCGGCTCAAAGGAAACCACGACCAAGATACTCCGCGACTTCAACGAAAGGTCCGCCACGTCGCACGCAGAGCTCGAGCACATCCGCGCCGAGCCCCTCCCCCTCTGGCAGCAGGCGCTCGCCGGAGCGTCCGCGGGAATGTCCTACAACTTCCTATTTTTCCCGGCAGACACGGTGAAGTCCCGGATGCAGACCACCCCGATCGGCGAGTCGGCCAGCAAACGGACCTTCGCGCAGGAGACGGCGGCGTTGTGGAACCAGGCTGGCTTGCGGGGCTTTTACCGGGGATGCGGAATCACCGTCCTGCGCTCGGCCCCGAGTTCGGCCTTTATATTCATGGTTTATGACGGGCTGAAGACGTACCTGCCCATGCAGTGAGAGAGAGAGTGGGAGAGAGAGAAAAGCCACTCATGCGAGGCATCAAGTGGGTGGTGGACTGATATTAGGATGATTGGCGCATGGCACGGCGTTGGCGGTATAGATCGGGACTTGCCACTTGTTTACGGACAATTGACATATGGGCAAGATCTGCTTGGCTTAGTCTTTCATACGGTTTGTTCATGGCCCGGGTATTCATCATCATGCATGGCATAGATTAGGGACGATACATATATACCTACAACTTCGACTACATGTCTTCTATCTTTCTGTCGCGTTAACCCGTACAAAACCCTTCTCCTAAGCGAGCTTCTCGTCCTTCGAAGCCCCTTTGTCTCCCAGATCCCAGTTGTTCAAGTAACCAGCGCCGGCCGAGAGGTAAGCAGCAAAGCCCAACCAGCCGACATACGGCACCAAACACCAGCCCGCGACCCGGTCAACGGACCCCCACAGATAGGTAAGGTAAGCATTGAGGCCGAGCAGGGCGATGATATCGACGGTCGCCTCGACGGGCCGCCTGAGGCCGAAGAACAGCGGCATCCACGCCAGGTTCAGGCCCAGCTGGATCGTGTACAGCGTCGCGCCGTGCCGGGCGGCGCGGATGGTGTCGGGCGCGCTGAGCGGCGACGTCCCGTGGTGCACCGCCCGGTAGGCCGCGTAGCCCATCAGCCCGTACAGGGCCATCCACACCGGCGGGAAGACCGCCGGCGGGGGGTTGTAGGGTGGCTGTTTTAGCCCGAGACGGTTCTTTTGTGCCTCGCTTGCTGGGGTTCACGTTTAGCTTGCGGCCTTCTCAGGCGGGGGACAAGGGAGGGCCGGGTCGGGGCTATTTACGTCTGGTGCTATATCCAACTGCTGTTCCCAGAGCGATGGGCAGGAGGATGGACGCGGCGGGGCTGTCGAAGACGGCCTGGGGTAGCGTCAAGTGAGGGATGTAAGTGGTCATACTGACGGCTGTGGAATTGTTTATTAAGACTGCTTGTTGTGTGAAAAGGGCGCAATTCAAGACTACAAATTCACGTCGGGCGGGGCTGCTTTGCGAGCATCAGATATGGAACTTAGGTTGATATGTTTGATATGACCTGTGACGCAACCACCCCAAGGCACTGTCGCCAAGATTAAGGCACAACATAACGAAGTACAAACGAAGAAGTGAAGCTTGGGCTCTTGATGCTGATTCGGGGTGAAGAAGATCTAGCTGGAATTGTTAGAAGTTTCGCAGTGGATATTGCAGCAGATGACCTCGCCAATTTATCTCATCCTAACATACTCTTCCCACTCTCTCGAGAGTGTATATCTTTTCTCCCGAAGTCCTCTGCAAGCATTTATATCTGCCTTTCCAGATTAGGAAACCCACTCTCCACTTTCGCCAAGAGTTTGTGGTCGTACCACGTGACTTTCCCCAGCCACATCTGATCTCGCCGTCGCGCGCAGCTCCTCCGCCTTCCGGAACTGTCCCAAACAGCCTTCGTATGCGAACCTAGTTGGTTGTTTAACCTCTTATCGCTGCTTCACGCGCCTTTAGGAGACGCGTGCTGTTAGCTTTACCGCAAATTGTTCGTTCTTCCGGATTTCATTACTCTTACTATTTCCCCAGCCGCGCTTCTGCCTTGGTTGCAACCCCTTTCACATAGATGTTGCCCCATCCGCAGCTCGTCAATTGACGCCGTCCTCCCTTTGCTCACCCCGTCCCCCCCAACTGTCCCCTGTCGCATCGTCTAGATTCATTCGTTCTGTCGGGCGGCTTCATGCGCCCTGTTTCCCTCGATTACTTTGCCCATGTGGTCCAATTGCTACCTCGTCTACACCTTATCCATCTCTTTTCAAACACCCTTGGAATGTCTTTTCTAACGGCAATCATGTCGCCAAACAGTTCGCATCCGTCTACATCAGGCGCCCGACGGGTTCCCGGGATTACTTAGCAAGCAGAAGCAAACAACCGTGGCCCACCGACGAAAGGCATCTTAGTCCTACTCTGTGAGCTCTGGAGAGGGCTCCCCTCTTTCATCACCTGCCCACCAAGTCCCGGCAGCCACCGCTCAGCTCAGAACCATTGAGGAGCCATGGATTCCTACAACTCCTACCGGGACTCTGCGCGTTCTCCAACTGATCGAACGTGGGGAACTCGCGACGATACCAGAGGCAAGGAAGATAGGATGGATAACTTCTATCGCAGTAGATCTCCCGGTGCGTTTACAATGACGTTTCGCATTCCCACTCACTATCACTTCAGGATTCCTTTGCGCAACCTTCTATCTGATCACTGCACCTTCCTTGCACTGCGAATCTTTGCTTACCCCCATAAATAGGTCCCGATCGCACCCGCCGACGATCTCGCTCTCCTGTTGGTGCAGTTGATCGATACGAGCCGAGGGGACGTGGCGGCCGCGATGAGTACGCTGCACCACGAGAGAGGGAGGACCGTCCGCGACGAGTGGGCTCGCCACCGGCTAATATCGATCGATATGTTCCTGGTCAGGAGCCAGGACCGAGTTCCACCCAGCCGTTGACGAACCCAATCCCCGATCCCGTTAAGCTCCCGTATCAGGTGGGGTTTTCGTACTTTGGCGAATGGTGGAGAGCAAATGAGAAGATCAAGGAAGAGAAAGACCGTCAGCGAACTGGCCGACGGCGGGAGCCAGAACGTGTTCGCGGCACGCGCGAGGCGCAAGAAGAACGTGAGAAGGAGAAGGCCAAGATACAGGCTGCCTACGACTCGTACAAGGAAGAACTGCAGGCCAGGATGGCCCACACTTTTGTGAAGCAGCACAAGGATGAGCAGTGGTTCATGGAGCGCTATGTTCCTGAGATTCGTGATGTCTTCCGCCAGCAACTTAACGATTTCCGGCGAGCAGGCTACACCCAGTGGGAGCAAGAGCTTGAGTCTGGCACGTTTGATGATTTCACTCTTGAAGGCATCCCCAAGAGCGAAAGCAATGGCGCCGGTGGTGTCGTCGAGAAGGAAGAAGGGGAGGCGACTGCTACCAACGAAGTCCTTGGTGTCGGCGATCTCGTCCCCGCTAGCAGCACCGACATCCGGGACGAGAATCTGTATCAGCCAACCTTGCTCATCAAGACGATCGCCCCATCTGTCAGCCGCAAGAACCTGGAGGCGTTCTGCAAAGAGCACCTGGGTGAAGGAGAAGGTGGATTCAAATGGCTGTCTTTGAGCGATCCCAATCCGAGCAAGAGGTATCATCGCATAGGTTGGATCATGCTCGACCCCTCATCGGAAGCCCCTACTGCGCCGGATCGAGAAGAGGTCAAGGATGAAGACGGCGAAGTCGATGTCAAGTCTCCCGCCCCCGCCTCGACTGCAGAGAAAGCCCTGGAATCAATCAACGGCAAGACTGTGAAGGATGAGCAGCGTGGCGACTTCACTTGCCACGTTGGTATCCATAACCCCCCCAGCAATCCAAGGAAGAAAGCGCTGTGGGACCTGTTCTCTGCCCCAGAGCGCATCGAGAAGGACCTTGGCTTAGTCCAGCGTCTCGTTGACAAGTTCGAGGAGGACTTTGGATCCGATTTCAACGCCATTCTCAAGGTCGAGGAGAGAGTCGAGGATTTGAGGAACAGCGGCCGTCTCCAAGCCGTTGCTCCTGCGTCGACCGTCAAGAAGACCAAGAAACAGCGGGCAGTCGGCATGGACGAGGCAATGGATGAGGAAGGAGAAGAACGGGATATCGGGGAGGCGGACGAGGACGAGGAAGAGGAAGAAGGCGCCGTTGACGATGAGGTCGACGACGAGGACCTTCTCGTGAAGAAGAAGCAGTTGGACCTCCTGATCGAGTACCTACGACGCGTCTTCAACTTTTGCTTCTTCTGCGTTTTTGAAAGCGACTCGATTCACGAGCTGACACGGAAGTGCCCGGGTGGTCATCTTCGCAGGCCGCGCAGCACCCTGTCCTCGTCTGCCAAGGCTGTCGCGCGTGCGAGCGCTTCAGGGGAGCCCTTCCCAGGCAAGAAGCGCAAGGAGACAGAGGAGGTAGAGGAAGGTGAGGCGACTGAAGGAGAGCGCAAGTTCCGGACCTCCTCCAAGACCGAGCAGCAGCTGCAACGGGCCTACAACTGGGTCAAGACATTCGAGGACAAGATCATGCAGATTCTTGAGCCTCACACTGTTGATGTCCGGAAGCTGGGCGGAAAGCCGGTCGAGGATGCTGTCAACGAGGAGCTGGCCAAGCATGTCAAGCAAGAGGACGAGCACAAGTGGCGCTGCAAAGTTCCGGAATGCAGCAAGCTCTTCAAAGAGGATCATTTCTGGAAGAAGCACGTTGAGAAACGTCACCCGGAGTGGCTTGAGAAACTCAAAGAAGAGGTCAGCTTGCATCCATTTATCTCTTGTGCTTGGCCGATGACTAACTTGAGAGAAATACAGTTCGAGTTGATCAATGCCTATGTGCTTGATCCCGCCCACATCGCACCGTCCCGAACGGATGCCAATTCCAACGGGCACTTCCCGCCTTCGAATGGCCAACAGCCAGCGGGTACTCCGAGAGGATTCAACCTGCAGAATTATGCCATGAGCAGCATGATGAACTTCCCCAACTTCCCCATGCCCATGTTCCCTCCGAACATGATGGGCGCACCTCCCATGGGTGCAGCGGCGGCTGGGTGGCATCCTCCGGGAGGCGACGAGCGAGGTGCCGGTCCGATCCGCCGGGGCGGCGCCATGGGCAACCGCTTCAACAACCGGACCGGTCCTTACGACCGCCGGTCGAACCCCCGCTGGGGCGCGGATGGCGGCATGGGCGGGCCCATGGGGGGCGGGGGCCGGGGCCGGGGCGGTCCGGCTAGCCGGTGGGGTGACGGGGCTGCCGGAGGTGCCGCTATGGGTCCTCGCGAGGCTGTCCAGGGCCGGACCCTCAAAAGTTATGAGGACCTGGACCAGGTCTCTGGAGGGGGTGGTGGCGAGCTTAACTACTAGCCCTGCCGAAGCTTCTGCTTCATTTTCCGCGCTGGCGGGGGTGTTTGGCGAACGAGAAAGCCGGGCTGGCAGCCGTGATCGGACGGACTGGCGAGGCTTAAGAAGCCGCACCATGCATGGCTTTTGAGAACTAACCGAGAACTAGGCTCTCTCTCATCTTTGCTTTTTCTTTCTTCAACTTTCCCGGCAACAACAAAACCTGGCTTTCGTGGCACACGGCGTTGCTCTTGTACAGTAGTAGTATCACCAGTTAGTCCGGATGCAAAAAGGGCGGCCGGCAGATCAGATGATAATTCAGAGCAGATTGATCGACTTTCGCGAATGGGTATTACCCCTATAAGATGGATGGGCCACATCTCAAAGTTCTCTTGCCTCCTCCCCTTCTCGGCTTTCGTTCGACGGGCCATTTGCATTACTTAAGTGTTCGAGAAGTCTTGTCTAGTTGCGAGGCGTTGTATCCCATACAGTGTAAAGATTTGTCAACCCCTCGTTTTTATCACTCTCTTCCCTTTCTGTATGGTCATTTCTTGGCCTCTCCATTTAGTCCTACACCCACTCACAAGAGGCCCCCAAGCCAGCCCCAGGCCCGTCTTAATAACCCCTCCCTCTCTCGCCCCCATCCCATCCCATCTACCTGCTCAGGGCGATATCGTCGATCCGCAGTATCATCTTCACGGTCTCGGCGGCCAGCTCGATGGCGCTGGTGCTGACGAGCAGGGGCTGGAGGACGTTCTCCTTTGCAATGTTGGCGTTGACGCCGCCGCTCTTGATGCTGACGCCGGCGTTGCGCTCGCCCATTTCGTGGCGGTGGCGCAGCTCGGTGACGACCTTGATGCTGTTGAGCCCCGCGTTCTCGGCCAGCGTGGTGGGGATGACCTCCATGGCGTCGGCGAAGGCCTTCCAGCAGATGGACTCGGTGCCGGCCAGCTCGCGCGAGGCGCGGCTGAGCTGGGCCGCGATCTCGATCTCGGGGGCGCCGCCGCCGGCGATGAGCGCCTTCTTCTTGACCAGGCAGCGCACCACGCACAGGGCGTCGTGCAGCGACCGCTCCACCTCGTCGAGGATGAGGGAGTTGGCGCCCCGGACGACCACGGACACCGTCTTGCCGGTCGCCTTGGCGCCGGTCACCTTGACCATGCGGCTGCCCGAGCTCTGGACCTCCTCGATCAGGTCGGCCGACCCGAGCTTGTCCTCGGTGAAGCTGTCGATGTCGGCGATGGGCTTGCAGCCCGTCGACTTGCAGATGAACTCGACCTCGTCGCGCTCAATGTCCTTGACCGCCAGGATCCCCAGGCGCTGGAGGAAGTGGAGGGAGAGGTCGTTCACCGCGTCGCGGAGGATGGACTTTTGGATGAAGAGCACGTTGCACTTCGCCTTCTTGATCTTCTTCACCATGTTGAGGAGGTACATGCGCTCTTCCTTGACGATCTTGTCCATCTGCCTGTAGTCATTTACGGAGATTGTGTTCTCCATCTGATGAGAGCAAGTGGTCAGCTCGCAGGTTCTTTTTGAAAAGGGGCGAATCTAAGGGGGTCCAGGGAGTCTTACATCTGGCTTGGGGGGGCTCAGCTGGAACTGGATCAGACCGATCCTGGCCTTCTCCATTCTCAGAGGCCCGCCGGCACTCTTGATAACTGGCTGGGTGAGGACCAATCCGTCCACCAGCTCGCTATCCTCGATTGTGCCTCCCACTTTCTTGATTATCCGGATGTTCCTGAGATCGACATTGTCCGCTGATTTCATGTCTATTGTCTTCATAACAGAGTTTACGGCCATGGGACCGAGCAGGTTCGAGTATTGTGACACGATCTTGGAGGAGAGCGACGTATTGGCGGCTTGGAGGAGAGCAGCGGTGTCTGTCAGGGAGATGGGAAGCGACATGTCGTGGAGCACCTTTACCGCGGCGGCTGCCGCTCTCTGGAAGGCCTCGGATATGATCGAAGGATGGACTCCCTTGGATAGTAACCGGTCTGCGGCGCCCAGCAGGCTGCCACAGATAACCACTACTGATGTTGTGCCATCTCCAGCCTCCACATCTTGGGCGTTTGACAGGTTCACAAGCATCTTCGCCGTAGGGTGCAAGACCGACATGCTCTTGAGCATTGTACTTCCGTCGTTTGTGATTATGGTCTCGCCCTTCCCACTTCGGATCATCTTGTCCATGCCTCGCGGTCCGAGAGAGGTTCTGATAGCATCGGCGACAGCTAAGAACCGTTAGCAAAGCTTTGCTAAGAGAAACTGCGGGTTATGAATACCTCTCGCCGCAACGATGTTGGCAGACCGGACAGCCATCGGCTTCTCTTTATCCTAGAGTCCTAATCAGCAACAAGCTCATGGCCTGGGCACAGCAATGAAGCATACTTTGAAGGCGGCATTTGACTGGTTGCCACCGGTTTGCACCGCCGTCGCCATTTTCAGTCGGAAGTTGGATTTAAGTTTGGGAAGGAGGAATAGAAATTGAGTTCTGATGGTGAGCTCTCGTAGGGTTGTACGTGTTGTTGGTTCGCGACTAGGCAATCACTGGGGAAGCTCTATCTGCTTCGAGTGGGCTGGAATTTTTTGTTCACTTTCAAAGTAACGAGGGGCCCGGATTCCTGTCACTAACCTTCTTGGGATTAGCTAGGTAGCTGCACATATGCATAAGTCGGAGAGAACGGCGCCACAGTTCCGAGCTGAGTGATGGAGCCCAGGTGACGGCACCAGGCTGACAGCAACATACGCGGTACCTAGGTACCTGAACTTTGAGCTTCCATCTGTCGCCGCCTTCCAGATCATCACTTCCATTTACTCTTGCTTCCCGCCATCACCTTTACTCTACCATTTTGATCCCGAAAGCCCTATCTCACTTTCAGGACTTCCGAGCCCTCCTTCAGCCGCAACCATGGTAGGTCTGGCCACTCCCCTATGGTCTGTTGATCTGTCTAACTAGCCACAGCCTTCTGCCACCGGTCAAGACTGGGAGAAGTATAACAAAAAGTTCGCCGATGATGAGGTTGAGGAGAAGAAGATCACGCCTTTGTCAGATGAGTGGGTTACTCTCAGACCAAGATACACAAAGTTCGCATCGTTGCTGATTGCCCGAATGTCAATAGGGATATCCAGGTACTGAAGACTTACGGCGCTGCGCCATACGGAGCAGCGATCAAGAAGCTCGAGCAGCAGATCAAGGAGAAGCAACAAAGTGTCGACGAGAAGATCGGCGTCAAGGTAAGCTATCGCGTTGGACCGGAACACCTTTTCCGATCGCAACGCTAACTTCTAGATTAGGAATCAGACACTGGGCTCGCCCCTCCCCATCTATGGGATGTTGCCGCCGACAAACAACGCATGCAAGAAGAACAGCCCTTGCAGGTGGCCCGCTGCACGAAGATTATCCCCGACGAGAAGGACGATGCGAAGAGCAAATATGTTATCAACGTCAAGCAAATCGCAAAGTTCGTCGTGCAACTCGGAGAGCGTGTCAGCCCGACAGATATCGAGGAGGGCATGCGTGTCGGTGTCGACCGGAACAAGTACCAGATATTACTCCCTCTTCCTCCCAAGATCGATGCCAGCGTCACCATGATGACGGTCGAGGAGAAACCTGATGTCACATACGGAGACGTCGGTGGCTGCAAAGAGCAGGTGGAGAAGCTACGTGAGGTCGTCGAGATGCCGCTCCTATCTCCCGAGCGGTTCGTCAACCTGGGAATCGATCCTCCAAAGGGCGCTCTGCTCTACGGCCCCCCAGGAACCGGAAAGACGCTCTGCGCAAGGGCGGTTGCGAACAGGACAGATGCGACTTTCATCAGGGTTATTGGGAGTGAACTGGTTCAGAAGTATGTGGGTGAAGGCGCGAGGATGGTCCGAGAACTGTTCGAGATGGCCAGGACAAAGAAGGCCTGTATCATCTTCTTCGACGAGATCGACGCCATCGGTGGAGCCCGGTTCGACGATGGTGCCGGAGGCGACAACGAGGTGCAGAGAACCATGCTGGAGCTCATCACCCAGCTCGACGGCTTCGACGCCCGTGGCAACATCAAAGTAATGTTTGCCACCAACAGGCCATCCACGCTCGATCCTGCCCTCATGAGGCCCGGTCGTATCGACCGGAAGATCGAGTTCTCTCTCCCAGACCTCGAGGGGCGAGCCAACATCTTGCGAATCCACGCCAAGAGCATGTCCGTCGAGCGCGATATCCGGTGGGAGCTCATCTCACGCCTCTGCCCCAACGCAACCGGTGCCGAGCTGCGCAGCGTGTGCACAGAAGCCGGCATGTTCGCCATCCGGGCACGACGAAAGGTGGCTTCGGAGAAGGATTTCCTCAGCGCCGTGGACAAGGTCATCAAGGGCAACTTGAAGTTCAACTCCACTGCAGCCTACGCGCAGTACAACTAAACTAGGATGGTCGAACACGGTTAAAGCTGTGTGTGTATTCTACATGATAGATTGCTTTCGCATGGAATCTGGTTTCTAGGCCGCCACAAACACAAGCCGGAGTTTGCGGGAGCTTGTACCCTATATCTAATAACGATGGCTGCTCAGCGCTGGTTAGAGATTGCCACCAGGTGCAAGTGCTTTCAGTCCCAGAATAGCCCACGTAGGTTCAGGGCTAGCCTAACTGTTGAATGTGATTAAAAATACATGTCCAACTGCCAAGCCTGGCATGTTGTCCAAAGAAGTGAAGCTTGGCTAGCGATGAGTAGTAGCTAACCATCCATATCGAGGAAGATGGCACGCCTTCAATATGGTGGGTATGATGATGTGGTGGTGGGCTTGTAGTTCGCCAACGCCTTCCTGCTTCCAAAATACCAATGCCAATTGTACCCGCCCCAGGATCAAGAATAAACACTTGATCGCCCATGTAGTACTGCTCAATGGGGCCCCCTCCCCCCGTCCCAACCGAGAACTTCCACCACGTCCTAGGATTCTGGTTATATGTGTGATCTCGGTTGGCACAAAATCACGGCATGCCTCATATGGGCGTCACGTCATTGACGCCGGGCTTGGGGGAAGAATAGTCGTCGCTCTGCGCCATGGTGACAGCAGAATGTCGTGTTCCGTGTACCTATTCAACCCTCCGCAAAAGGCAGGCAGCCCAGACAGACGACGTCTCCATCCGGTCCTCTCTCCACACAACATCGACTGCAGACGACCTGGCGATGCCCTCCTTTGGCCCATCCGTCTGCTTGCCGTTGCTGTTCCTTGTCGAGGTTCCGGTGTGATCCACTCTCCGACGCTACACCTTCCCTTCCCTCGGTCTCGGCGTCGGCATCCTCCATATGGAACGAGGCAGAGAGGTCCTGGGTCGGACCGTTGCAGAGCATCTCGTCCCCAGAGTCGGGTCTCCAATCGAGACACTGCCGCAGGCAGACAAAGCAGGTCCGCCGGCCGCAGCCCTGGCAGTCGGCAAAGGAGTCGAGGTCGGACTTCCTGGTCGGCTTGCGGTGGCAGATGTGGCAGCGGCTCAGCAGGAGTCCCGAGTTTGCCCGCGTAGGCGACGGCCTGCTGTTGGCGCTCGTTTCCCGCAATTCACCCCGTCCCGGGGGGCTCGTCGGGGGAGGCTTGGACTGGCGTGACGCGGTCGGGGAGGCGGATCGTGAAGGAGGCGATCTCGTCTTCTCCTCGTCGAATATCCGCGGCCGTTTTGACGCGGGTAAGGGAGCGATCTCCCTCGGCTGTGTGTGGCCTGTGGGAAGGTAGTTGGACTCATGGCTGCGGTTTGCTCCAGTGTAGCAGGCGTCGTCTCGACGTAGTAAATGGGTACTGAAAACGGGGACATCTGTCGAGATAATCGTCCGAGTCTGAACACGGGTTGGCTCGTGCAATGGCTTGGGCACTCCGATGGCGTACTGATCGTCTCGCCGCCTCTTCTTGGATGGGACGACCGGTTGCTCTTGGGTTACCGACGGCATGTTTTATGGTTTGTGGATGCAGAAGTATATGCAAGTGGCGAAGTGAACCTTCCATATATCAGACGGTTTGGTGCAGAGTGTTGAAAGGGGAGGAAAGCGTGATTATTATGACGGTGTGGAGGAGGAGTAAACTGGCTTAGTTGGGCACGAGTAGAAAGCACGGTTGCTGAGCTGTTTCCCAGGCACTCCAGTTGCCCTGGACCCCTGTCTCCTGCTTCGGAGTGTGCCGAATCTCTCCACCTGCCTGTAAAGCGACCTCGAACAACCACTAACATGATAAAATACAGGGACTTGGCAGCTGGTATTAGGTGGGTGGCACTCGAATTCAGTGGACTGAAGCCGAAATGCACGAGCATTCGACGATACCTAGTTAGGCAAGGTAGTAACCTGGAACCTACATAGAAGTAGATAAGGTAGGTATCCATACTAATAAGAAGGCTTCTACGTTGTATGGAACGCTCACATATTATAACGTTGTTGCTCGTAAGGGATATCTGAAAGACTAGAACAATCGTTTGCTCCCGATACGACTTGTGATCCAAAACAAAGAGCCTAAGTTACGAAGTTTCGAGTTACCTCTAGGTTAATGGTAGAACCTACCGAGGAACCTTCCTGGCAACTACTTTTACCTAAAGGTGGCTTGTGGCGGGCATCACGTGGCGGAATTGGATTCGCACTAGCAGAAGAAGTAGACGCCTTGGCGTGCCTGAGGCTGCTTCAAGCGAAAGGACTCCTCGCCCGTCATCCCGCGCCCGTCCCACTACCCTTATTACAATTTCCCACTTCCAGCACATCGAGCCCATCGAAGCGAAACACTCCATCGTGAGCGTGCCGAAGACATCCGAATTTGACATCAAGATATGAATCGCGCCGGCAAGCTTGCCCCCGAGGTAAATCGGTAAGTCAAATGAGTGTTTTTCTTGTTTCCGCGTCTCCACCCCGTCCGACGACGACAACCGCCTCGGGCCCTCCATCCCCCTCCGCTCCGGCTTCCTGTACCACAACTAGTCCGCTAACCACCCCCGTTCCGCATCAATAGAGCTTTATTCGTAAAGAATCTAAGGTATTTATGCTCCATCAACTGCATCCTCCACAGTCATGTGGCTAATTCTCTCTCAGCTACAACGTGACACCAGAGGAACTCTTCGATCTCTTCGGCAAGTTCGGGCCCATTCGGTATGCATCTACATCATCCCCCCTCAGGCCCTGTGCTGACACCGTCTCTAGCCAGGTCCGCCAGGGCATCGCGACGAATACAAAAGGCACAGCGTTTGTTGTCTATGAAGACGTAATGGATGCAAAACAAGCTTGCGACAAGCTAAACGGCTTCAACTTCCAGAACCGCTACCTTGTTGGTACGTTTTGAATCCAGGCCCTCCCCTGCCATGACACTGCCGGGCCACCAACTAACTTCACGCTCCAGTACTATACCACCAGCCAGAGAAGATGGTCAAGTCAAAAGAGGACTTGGAGGCCCGCAAGGAGAATTTAGAACGCCTAAAGAGACAACATGGTATCGATTGACGATTAGACGGGCCTGCTGATGGCCTTCAGATTCGGGATCGACCGTCTGGAGGCCCGTCTACTCCACCTTCCTCTCGGACGACTTCGGACTCAAAGCCGGAGTCGGTCCTAAAGAAGGCCAAGCCAGGTTTCGCTGGACAGGCACGAAGCACTCTCCCGCACTTCGTGCGAAAGCTACTTCCGACCGTGCAAGAGGTCGCCTAAACATGACCGCATTGTTATCTCTGACAAGCCGCATGTGTAATACCGGCCGCACTCGGATCGCACCGCACTTGGTTGGCTGATTGGGGCTACGCTACGCTCTCCTCTCGACCACATATCGCTCTCAAGAGTTTGTCTTGCCATGATTGATGACGGCTTAAGGGATTCAGTTTTTTAGGGTTTCGGGTATTCTCTTTTATTTTGAGTTTTCGAGTTCATTAAACCGGGAGGGTGGAGGTTGATCAAAGGACACGGCTGTCGCTTGACTAGCCCAGCAGATATGGCTGGTTGCTTTCCAGCTGTTCAGAATGAGAAGTAGAGCATATATTCTACACCTTCATCAATTTTCACGTCGCCAACTTGTTGTATTATGGAATAATCAAAGGCCTCATTTCTATCTGGCAGCTTGATAAACCTCTGATTTGAAAAGGTATTTTGCATGGCATAATGCATCTGCTGCGTTCGAAGATGCCGTTTCTAATTCCTCCACTTTGCTTGTACAGTGGGCCTCTTCCAATTGCTTACCTAATTTGCAGCGGGCGGGCGTGGCAGCCTTGCCCCGGGGGGCCCAACATCTTCCGTTCTGTTGTAGCCACCCTGAGCAGAGTTGAGGATGACGCCGAAATCCATCCGCGTGTTTGGTCCTAATCAAGGTGGGGGAAAGACCCTGGGGGGCCATCTGATATGTAAGGTAGGTCATTTATCAGATAATCCTGCGAAATTTACTCCTCCAGTGCGGGCTTGGTCTCCAGACACTGGAGCACCTCCAGCGCAATGGGATCAGCAAGTACGACAAGATCATCCCTTTCTCCTCGGAAAAGGGTACCGGGCCATCCTTTTACTCTCCGTCTTCGTACTGTAGCGTCAAAGGTATCATTCCCATCTATACAAACGTAGAACAAGTGAATGACAGATCTCTTGCCAGCTGATGCTCGTCAAAAGAGCTATTGAAGCACCACACATCTTACCATTCCCACTTTGCTTTTCATGGTCCCTTGTTGGATTAAGCTGTGGTGGGTGGTGGGTTCCAGCCATCCGTCGATATACGCGGCGGATCAGACCGTTCGCTACCCCATCCGTATGGGCCGGTGTCGCTCGCATTCCTCGTTATTTCCAGGCTGTTTCGGCTTAGAGAAAGCTGACCATGTCATCCCGGCCAAAAGCTCTCGCGACGGAGATTGGTGTGCTTCTTCCGTTGCTTGTCGATCGCACATCGGCGCCTTTACCAATAAGGGCTTTTACCATGTCGAGATGGCCATACTCGACTGCCCAATACAAGGCAGTCCTGCCACCGCAGTCTCTCTTGTCGACGTTGATAGATCCCGTCGAGAGGAGTACGTCGATCATGCCGGGAAAGTTGTTCTGGACGGCCCACATGAGTGGAGTCCAGCCATCAACGTCGATGTCGTCGAGCCCCGGGCATTTCTTGTTAAACCAATGTACTCAGCACAGCTTCGTGTCCACCTTCGCATGCCCGAAAATCCGCACCTCTGCTGTCGTTGTCGAGACTAGCCTTGTCTACTCGGCTGCCTCGTAGAAGGGCCCGCACGGTTCCGTCGTGACCGTTTCCTGCCGCCCATGACAAGGGTGATTGGCCATTCTTATCTGCGAGGTTGGGATCGATGCAGGTGCTTCTCAACAGATGCTCTAAGGGCCTCACCAGCCCGTCTCTAGCTGCCCAGGACACGGCGGTTCGCCCGCGCTAGTCCCTGTGGTTGATGTTGACACCGGGATGCTGTAGTAACGTCGAGATTGTGCTGATATGGCCTCCGCCGACGGGCCAGAAGAGAGGCGTCAAGACAGAACTATCTGGCTCGTCAGGTTCACAATCATCCCGCTTCAGAAGGGTTGCGATAAGGTCTAAATGGCCATTTCCGCAGGCGAAAGACAGAGCGGTCCGGCCAGCCTTCCCTCTCAGATTGATATCCGTTGTTTCATCTAACAGAAGCAGTGCCACAGCATCAAGATAATCGCCCTGAGCAGCGACTGTCAGTGCAGTCTGTCGATCCACAATCTGATGGTTGGGTTCCGCACCTGCCCGAAGGAGCACTTCGATACTCTTGCTGCGACCCATTTTGGATGCCCAGAATAGAGCGTGGTTTTTCCCTGACTGGGGATAGGAGTTGTTGGTGTCCAATAACTCGGCGACAATGTGATGAATGTCGAAGTAGGCGGCCAAAGTAACTGCATCGAAGTCCGGTGGAGGCTCATCATGCTCCATGCTAGATTCGAAACGATAGAACCTCAGCCAGTTCGTGCAGTGAGCACTTCCAGGGTCGAGGAAGGTCATGCCAGCCTTCCGCAACTCTGGGGTGGCCAGGTCTTGGGCCGCCGCATAATGTTCTGCCCAATGTAAGGCAGAATAACTGAAAAAGCGGTATCGCCCTGTGATGGTTTGGCACGTTTCGCCGTCGAGAAAGCGCTCGTCTCTGAATATGGTGTCACCCTGCAAGTCGAGGGGGTCGCGTTCATTCGGGACGCTAGCAGCCAGCAAGTCGTCAACTTAGATGATTCGGCGAGTGATTCAACGGGCGAGTTCTCGAGGGAGAAAATATCCACGGAGAAGTCGTCTAGAAGCAAGCAGAGGACGGATGATGTACATCGAGAGTATCGATGAGGACATAGACCAAACCAGATTTTGGGTCTGAGGTGATGCGCTCAAATATGTTCCAGAGCGACGAGAACGATCTAGACAAGGCACGGCCTTGGACCTCATACACTGTCTTAACGTGCCGCACGAGGGACCGGTGGCGGCAAATAATCTGATATATGATACTCTTCAGGTTACTGAGGACGTCTTTCAGCACCATGACCTTGCTATCGCAGAAGTGGATACACACAGGGGCGGCATGGGTGCCTCCTTGTGCCGCTTCTAAGTGCTGGGCTAAGAATGACGAGAGCGTGGTCTTGCCGCACGCTGAATGTCCTGTAAGCCACAAGAGGCTGGTCCTGGTTTGAGCGAGCTAGGAGTCAAACTGGGGGTGCGACAAAATCCACCGACAAGTACCTGTCACCGGCTGTGGCAGCATTCTCCAGTGATCAGCAACATCAAAGTCGCAAAGTAAGGCCATGCATGACTTCTCGATATCTGTCAGGCAAAGCCTTTCAGAGTCAGATGTCTAGAGTCACTTCCGTAGCGTAGAACTTCAGCCACGGATCGCCAAGCAGCTCCTGAGCAGTGGCTCTTTCTTCCAGCTTCCAGGCAAGCATCCATTTCGCAACAAGGCCTTAGATAATACGTGGTGGGACCAAGAGGTTGGGCAGCGGCTCAAAAGCTAAGCAGAGGTGTTTCCATCCTGGGCCTTCAGCTTCAAACAAATCAAGGACTTTGTGGACATACTCCTGGCATGGACGAGTTGTCCACAGTGAAAACATGTGCTTTGAGATGTTGACCTCCTTCCGCGCAGCTTCAGGGGCAGAAGGCGAGCAGTTTGTACGGAAGTGGACCTCAAAAGTTTCTTTCCACTTGCTAACAACTTATTATTTAAATAAATCCATATATTTATTTAAGCCAGACAACGCCTTCTTTATATTCATTTCCACCCTTTAGAAGAATAATCTCCTCCACATCCCTTACAATCTAGTCTTGAGTCAACTCCTCATTCCAACAACACTCCCAACGCTGAATTGCATCTGCCTGGCTTTAAGGAGGCCCCTTTCAAGTAGTCATCCGTTTGATCCAAAACCAAGTAGCTTGATTGCGCTAATTAGGAGGATTAGGACACCAAAGAAGCTTCTGAATGCCATGTGAAGGGGAAGAATTTAAGGGGTTGTATGTATGTAAAAAAGATATTTAGATAACGGGCTGTTAGTAAGTGGAAAGAAACTTTTGAGGTCTACTTCCGTAAGCTTCAGCGCTACGTAACGCTGACATTGCCGTGGCCAGTGCATTAACCGTAGAGCGGTAGGTTGTTGAGATGTCTATTTTTGAAGCCCACAACTTCCCATTGCAGGCCCATTTCGACCCATTTGGCCATCAAACTCGCTCTTGTTTTCTCACTTCTATTGTGCCCGAGTCGGGTCCTTACCCATGTGACCCTTCTTCATTCTTTATACTCCATACAAGTCACACATCCTAACCTAGCCGCTAGATAAGGCGGCATTAGCTTTCTGGCTGGGCCACTTTATTTAGGCAGTGCCTTTTGTGGGGCTTCCCCTTGCCCCTCCCGAATCCAATCAACTGGCTTAATATCAGCCTCCTCACTGCTTGGCTGCGTAACCTTGTCCACAGCCATGACACCTCCTCCTTTCTAACGCAGTGTCAGGGTCATCAGAGCCCAGGCTACTTGCGAAAACCTTCTTGCCTGCTCCTGGTCTTCTCAGTCTTGCTTCCTTATCCTGTGCACTTCTTACACCCTACCGAGGGTACTTTAAACCTTTTCTTGGTCATCCTCTATGACCTGGCCTCGCCACAACCATTCCCTTGACTGGCCTTTCTCGTCGACTCATTCCACATGCATTCTTGACTAAAACCCAGAGCTTACTGGCCCGTTCCCAACCCCTTCCCCCATTTTCGCAAATGTTCCCTCCCCCAAACCTGGGTCATGTCGCTCTCGCTGTCCCAAGAGCTGCTCCAGAAGCGTCACTCGCTACGGCGGTAACGACGACGCTGCCAACCCATCATCGACCGACCATCGGTGCCTTTAAACCCGATGTGGACGACGATCCTACGCCGAGCGTAAATGCCATCATCGTGACCATGAGCATCCCTGTGGTGGGCTCCCCGACTTCGACCCCCGATCCGGAGATCGAGAAAGGCGAATGCAGCCTCCTCGGCCCCTTCGCGCTGCTCGTGCAGCTCGCTCTCGGCGCCCTCGCCTTGCTATCGCTGGTGTACAAGCGGTGGAGGGAACGGCCTCAGCGGCCCGTCAAGATCTGGTTCTTCGACGCGTCGAAGCAGGTGTTCGGGAGCGTTCTGGTGCACATGGCCAACGTCTTCATGTCGTTGCTCACCTCCGGGAGGTTCGATATCAAGACGGACCCTATTGCTGTCGGACATGTGGCCCGAAGGGCAGTGATGATGCTCGTGCGGAGGGGCGATGAATATACGCCGAACCCGTGCTCGTTTTACCTCTTGAATCTCGGGATTGATGTAAGTAGTCCCCTATCTCAACCCCCCTTTGCAAATCATTTCTTTAGGCAACCGGGCGACTAACTCGTATCACCCCTTACAGACGACGCTAGGAATTCCAATCTTGATATTTCTAGTGCGATTTACCACAAAGCTGGTATCATACACGCCGTTCGGCCAACCCCCCGACTCGATACAGAGCGGCTACTACGGCAACCCGCCCAACGCGTGGTGGTGGTTCAAGCAGAGCATCATCTACTTCTTCGGCCTATTCGGCATGAAGATCTGCGTTCTCATCATGTTCCTGGCGCTACCGTGGATCGAGCGCGTCGGCGACTGGGCCCTGGGCTGGACCGAGGGCAATGAGCAGCTCCAGATCGTCTTCGTCATGATGCTCTTCCCTCTCATTATGAACGCCCTGCAGTACTACATCATCGACTCCTTCATCAAGAAGGAGGTGGTTGTTTCCGACGACGAGTCGGGGACGGCGACACCTCCTGAGTATGCGGGGCTGGCCACCGGCGAGGACGTGGACAGCGACGCTTCCGGCGACGACGACGACGACATCAGGAAATCCCGCCCTGAAGACGTGAGGCTGTCGAGGCGGGACAGGTCACAGGACCGCGAGTACGATCCCGCCGTGGACGGCGACAGCCAGACCGTCGTGGGCAGCAGCGCTGGCGGCCCGGTGGCTGTGGCGGCGGCGGCGGCGGCGTCGTCGTCGGAAAGGGGTCGGCTGCTGCCCAAGGAACTATAGCCTACTTACCGAGTAGAGCATCGGGTTAGTCAATGTACGTATCGGAGGCGCCTTCTCCCTTCCATTTTTCATATACCAACCAGGGCCGGGACTCTTTTTACATACGGTGATCCTTGGTTATCTATATTGGGGAAACCTCTTTTGGGGCTTACGGATCCGAGAAAACTATAATACATGTAATCCGTACCGCATCTTCTGGTAGTCTGGCGTTCGTTCGGCTGGAGTACTCCGAGGGACTCGGTTAATAAACACCTGGGCACAAATGATTTGTCTTTTCCACTTTCACTCACCACCCTAGCTCAAATTGTGACCATGCCACACATTAAAGATTCCTCTCCTGGCTCGTTTTCCCACTTTACTCAAGAGAAACGTGTGCATTGTGTAGACAAGCATAACGCGCATATACAGCCCACTAGCAAGCGAGCGGGCAAACCGGGTGGTTAAAAAAAGAAGTCTAAATTTCTCTTCCCGTTTGACCGTACCCTTTAACCGTACTGTACAAGCCCCCAGGAGCCCCCAACCCGTCCAGGTATTTCCGCAAATCCGTTAATATCCCGCGCGCTTCTTCTTGTGAAGCCCAACTCGCGCGCGGCCCCCCCCCCATTAACGTCCTCCCTCCTTCCTGCCCACCCCATTCGCGGCGGTCTTTTCCGGAAAAGGGGGCGGGCAGGCAAGCCTGGGCCCCAAATGGGATATCAAATGCCATGCAGCATCCCATCCTTCGAACCAAAACAAGCATAAACAAACAGGAGGTATGCCAGCCCGCCAAGTCAAAGCCGGACAACGTCCACGAAACCCCAACAAATGTGTGAGGCCGAGGGAAAGAGGGAGAAGGTAGGGGGAAAAACCCAGAGGGGACGAGACGCTGGCATCATGTCCCTCGTTGTAAAGTAGAAGTGAAAATGGCAGAAATCCGAAGCCATCCATCTAAACCAAAACATGCGAAAAAACGGCCTATCATGCGTACACCCAGGCCCTTGTCAAAATGCTCCGCGACCTTCCAGGGTACAGACCTCGAAAAACTCCTTGAACCACTTTAATGATGATGGCGCAGTCACATAGGGGGAAAACAAAGGGTGTTGATTTGGTCGTCATATCCAGCCACAGTCATACACCTTTTTATTTAGCTGCTTGAACCCAGTCGTCACGGTTATAGCCCGCTCCAGCCCTCTTGATTTTGGGCCGGCTGGTATGCTCGATAGCCCGGGTATGCTGCTGGCTGTGGTGGAGGTTGGTGCTGCTCCTGCTGGGCTACTGCAGGACTTCCTCGGCGGCTGTATCCGGAGTTGAAATCGAACCCTGCATTGTTCTGGAGGCTTGTCGGAGATGGTGGCACGTCATGGGAGTACTGTCGTTGAGGGGGTGCCCTCAGGGGCCGACTCGACTCGGACGAGTAGTTTTGCTGGTGATGCCCAGGCGGATACGCGTCGTTGCTGAAACTCGCATCGTAACCATAGTCCGCCGGTGGGGCGGGCGATCGCCTGGCACCGCCGTAATTCCCATCTCGCATGCCGGGGCTTCCCCTGGGACCGGGGCTCCCTCTGGGAGGTGAGCGCCGCCCAGGACCCATTGCAAACCCTTGGTTCGCATGCTGGCCATAGTCGTCATACGGATTCTGGGGAGATCTGTCATCGAACTCCCTCTGTGCGGGATATGCTCCGCCGTAGCCGCGATCTTGCCCATATCCGCCGCCGTTGTTGTAGTCACGCGGTGAGTGCCTTCCTACAGCCATAGCTCCTCCTGGCATACCATAACCTTGGTCGACACCGAGCGAGGGCGAGTGCCGGTCATATGCACCATTGTTATAGTCAAATCCCTGTCCTCCCTGCGCATACGGGTCGCCACCTGCCACGCCCGCGGCGGTGTAGCCGTTCGATGGTGCGTGGCTGCCCGGGGGACCGTACGGGCTCGTGGGGTGTGGAGAATGAATTGGGCTCGCTGGTCCTGGGGTCGCCGTCGCGCCTGTCATCAGGGGCAAGTTCTGGCCATTGGCTGCACTGGCACCAGTGGCCTCGGGCTTCTTCAATTGATCCAATTCCACTGCCTCCTCCTCCACTAGCACCTTCTTGTTATTCGCAGTCTCCCAGCTAGGCATCTCCGGGAGGGCGTCCTCATGAACACCGCCGGCCTTTTTGGCCGTTTCGAATTCTGCGTACTGAGGCGGCTCGGCCGTCCTGGCAAACGTTGGGCCGACATTCATCGGTGCTTGTGGCTTGTACGCATGGTGTGCGTCGTGATGGGGCGGGATGTAGGGCTCGTCGAGATATTTGTTCTTTCGTCCTCTCGGCGGGTCGCAGCAGCCACAGCAACTGCCGCAGCATTTGAGGCAGTAGCAGCATTCGCAACAACAGGAAAGGCCACAACATGCGCAGCGCACTATACACCACACGATGGAGGCGATGAACAAGCCGCCGACCACAATGATCGCAATGACCGGCCATCTGCGGAGTCGGTCAGCGCCAGGAAACGGCCTTGATATGAGGGCAGTACGTACTTGCAAAAGTTTGCATTCATGCAATTGTCCCAGCTCGAGAAGGCCGTCTTGACGTCCGTAATGTGGCCTTGGACGTCGGTAATGGCATCTCGTGACTCTACAACGGGCCTCATGCTAGCTGTGAGCAGATCCAGAAAACCTCCCCTCACGCTCCTCGCCATGGCGACGTCGATGGATGGCATACTGGTCCGTACTATGCTGCCCGCGCCCTAGGATTCAGGACTTGTGGGCGAATACGACGAGTCGTCAACTATCATCCACCGACAGGTTGACACATATAAACACCCAAATATGATCCGCGTGAACCAAAGTATTTGTTGTCGAATAATCCAGCCGTCCTACAGGACCATCCTGAGGATCAATCGTCGTCTGTATGATCGCCTTGGAAAACCCGGAAGCGAGTTCTAGCCTGCCCGACGATTCGGGTCTAGAAGAATAAAGTTTTGGTCGTCGGGGGAAATCGAGCGGCTGTGGAAATGAGGGACGGAAGGCTGGTTAATCGAGGCGCCGCGACTCGGCAGGTCTTTGCGAAAAAGTAAGAAACGAACAAACGAAAGGCAGGAAGGGGAAAGGGACGTTATTGAACAAGGAGGCCGAGTAGAGCTGAAAGAGAGAGAGGGGGAATGATGGTTGGGAAACCAGTGCGGGCAGGGGGTCGTCGCCAGGGGCAGGCTGGGTGTGAAACATTGGGCCGGCTGTACAGCCACCACCTAAAAAAGATCGCTGAGTCGTACCTGCCTATCAAAATCAAGGAACCTCGGACCCTGCCGAGTGTAGTGAACGGGGCATTCGCATAAAAAACGAAAAGGGTGCAATATCGATTTAAACCAGCAGCAGGAGAGGGCTCCTCCGAAAATCCAAAATACAAATCTTTCGAATTTTTCTCCCAAAACTAGGAGTTCACACTGCAATCTACACTCCATATGCAAGGGACAGCTAATTGCGATCGTGCGCCTGCATTCGGTTTTCTAGACGTGCAGGAGGTTTGTGCGTCACAGGTGGCACTGGGGTCTGGACCGCCGGCAGTGGACCCATAAGGACGGGAGGTAGTTGATATGCCCGGACCAGCGCAGGCACAGTGTCGTCATCCAACCAATCCACACGTCCTTCGCTACGATGATCGACATCGTCCTTGGTCATCCGCACAGCTCACGTCACAAGATTCAACAACTTTCCCCAGCAGCTACTTTGTCGTTGCCAACAGCACCTTGGAAACATCTGAGGAGATATTTGCCGTTCGGACCGAATTTCTTAGCACAGGAACACAAGTCCAAGTGTTTCGAGATCAAGCACGCCGGCGAGATAAGCATTGCGTTATATAGAACGTAGAAGCACCAGGAATCACCTACCGAGTGCTGGAGAATGCAGCCTTGCGCCTATATCCGAAGAGCATATCAGGCGTCGACATGCTGATGCTGTAGGGTGACCTAAATTATTGTCTGACTTCACACAAGAAGAGCGATATGCTTCGGGTGTGCTCCCCAGACCTCCGGAGACGGACAATGTTTGGTACCAAGGCGTAGACCCGGGACACAGGCTGCTCAACAAAGTTCCTCCCATTAGCAGAACTTGAGGCGTCCGATAACCTGACTGCATCTGCGCGTTTGCACTGGTATCTGACCGACAGGGGGGATGAGAAGAGAATGCCTGCACGGCAGGAGCCGAGGCGCTGTCGCTGTTGCTGTCGATAGTACGAGCTTGTCCTATGCCTCGCCCATCGAAGAGCTGGACATGGCGCGACAGCTCGCGGAGACCCTCGCTATGAAGATGCCAGCCGAGGCCATGCTAACAGAGCCTGGTAAAGTTCGGCGTCGTCGAGGATGGTCATTGCCGTCGCTGTCGATAGCTAAGACAAGCTGCCACGACCAATTGATCAACAGGTCCAATATTGCCGATCGTCTATCCTGTAATCTACCATGACACCCTGCCCATGCAACTCTGGTACCGATGGAACCACAAATCCGTCCGCATCTCGTTTGTGTTCCATGCCTGGCATCTCGGCGCAGTCGAGCAACCTGGAGACAAAGGTTCTAAGAGGCCGGCGGTGAGGGTCCAGGGCCTAATGTACAGGATCCAAAGTCCGTATATCAGAGCTAGATGGACTTCCAGCGTGGTGACTCGGAATTGATCTACCCACGGTATGTTCCGACTCGCTGCTGGATGGAAGCACTGTAGAGTATACACTAGACTACGTGTCGATCAGGGCCTGTTTTGCTCAAGTGAAAAATGTAACCGCCAGTAGCATACCAAGCTTATCTTCACGTTCCTGAGGCTGCCGTTCCACCCTGGCTAGGCCTTGTCACAAGCGCGCCTCTCGGAGACCCTACCGCTCATGATGTCAGAGAAAGCCAAAGGGTGGTACGAGGGCAGTTATAGCTCAAGGGTGTGTCGCTTGGTTAACGTGCTGCTGTGATGACTACTTCAGTTCTTCTTGCCTTGCACAGGCTAGATACGATCCCTACCACGATGATCCACAGGATAGTCTGCTTCCGAGCTGCGAATTGAGGTTCTATCATTTATAGTACACGGCTCGATGGGCGATGGGGAGAGAGAACAGTGGAGAGGAACTTGTGTGGCGGGCTAGGAGGGAAGAGGGCTGGAAGGTTGACGCAAATATGAGCTGCTTTGGAAAGAGCAAAAGACGCCAACAGGATACCCAAGTTGTGTTGTCTGAAGAGACGTAAGCTCGTCTATTAGGAGAGAAGGGGAAACGCCAGACATTACAGAATTATGTAAAGGGCAATAGACTCTGGTATTCAATTTGAAGCTAGGGAAAAACCACAGAATGGTTGATCAAGGACTCTATTGAAAGTGGGTGTGATGAAGGTATCGTCTCTGTACTCCAATGGTTGTCTTCCGGGAAATGGGTTGGTCTTGGCCAATGCCTTTAGCGACAAGTATTGCCTTGACCCTACAAAACAGCTCCGGCAATCCGTCAGGGTCAGTTGTCAGTTGTTTGCTGTGCTTATAGTTGTATTTGTATACTCAGTATTCTCTATACAACATACACGGTCAATCTTTTCTCATCCATTGCCCATTGCAGGAGCTCAGTAGGAAAGACGCGAATACAAATAATGCTAATATGTTCAGCAGGAAGCCCCTCCAGTTCCGATAGTTAATCATGCTCCCAGTAGACCCTCGAACGCCTATTACCATCAACCTCTGTCCGGGAAGCGTTGCTGCCGGGAAATGTGGCAAACCAAGCTCACCAACCCATTATGGTCCGACCCATCGCCCTTTCCTTACACACAAGTCCATCGCAGGTCTATTTACCCGGAGGAGGTCCCGAGGGAGGCTCGTAGACATTGTCCCTGCCCTGCTGCGGGTAGTAGGCGTTCTGAGGAGGCTGGAGACCCTCCTGCTGGCCGCTATAATACCCCTGGTTGTTGTTGTATTGCTGGCCGTACGGGTTCGGTGGCGGGGGATACTGGTCCTGTGGCGGTCCTGCGGTATACTGGGGAGGAGGAGGTCCGTATCCGCCAGGGTTGTTCTGCTGCGGGTACTTGGGACCGGGCGCCATCCATCCAGTGCCGTAGCGAGGGGCGAGGCCCCTATTCCTGCGCCGGCGGGAGTTCCTGCATCTGCATTGACGACAGTCAGAACGGGATCTCTAGGAACCACGAATCGGGAATCGGAAACTGCTTACCCTAGCAACACGATGACCGCAATAATAAAGAGGATCGCTACGCCGGCGAAGACCCATCTTCCCCAGAAATGCCATGACGAGTTCCGGTAGCAGGCGTTTGATCTGAAGGTATACCCGCTCGGACATATGCTGCGAGTCTGTCAGCGATAATTTGTCACGGCTCAATGGAGTCGTGGGAACTCACGCTCTTTCCAGCACACGCGCCACCTGCACGGTCGGTGCCATTGTGGGATGGTTTAAAGTGTCAAAGCGGTGAGAGGTTGGAATGACAGTGTTTTTGGAAAAGGTACGAGCCCTCGAGGATGACGAGGCTTGACGGTGATAGATAAGCAAAATGGGAGTGATGACGTCGTGGCGCAAGGATCAAATGCGAGGTTGTAAGGTGAAGGGGATGACGGTTGAAAGTGGGAAGGGTGCGATGCTTTTATCAATTAAAACTGCGACAGATCTGCAGTCCCTTCTAATGGGCGTGGTTGGTCACTATAGTGGGTAGGCTGTGTTACGCATTGCCCCTCCAAGACTTGGCAACTCATACTTATTGATTGTCTCAAAGGACGGCTTTTGCGAGATGGGAACTTTCCCGGGGCTATGGTGCGCGCTAATAGTCTGGTCGTCGTCGTAATCCTTCGGCGAATCCGCCATCGTAAGCGGCATCCATATGCGCCCAGCGTTCAGGTGTCACCTGATCGTCAGGTGGCCCATCTTCACCTTACGCAGACTCCGCCACACTGAGGCCGAGGTTGTTTCGCGGGGCCAACCTACTTACCTATTCAGCCTACCAACCCCAGACACAACCAAAGGTGAGAAGGTTTGGAGTTTGGCCCTGTCATGGCTGCATGCGAGCACACGTAGTTAATCCGAGTTGAATCGGCATCCGCGCCGGTTTCAGACAACCTAGTAACGGTGAAGGATTGGATGTTTGGTGATTGCAGGCTTCTGCTTGCAGCTCAAGGGTAAGGGATGTAAGTACTGTACCTAGGTACGAGCCCAGGTAAAGGTTGTGGTGTGAGTGAGCAGTCGAGGTATTGGGCTTCCAGGTTCCTTCCAATCTTCACTTGGTGTTTCATTGTACCGTGTGCTTCCGTCTTGCAACCATCCAGCGAATCCAAAGCCAGCCAGTGTCCGTTGCGGGTGTCGGCTTGCCGTCAATACTAAACTAACGCATGCGCGAACACGTCAAGCACCCGACCTTCCCACGGGTTGGCGATGCATTGCCAGCGCATCAAATGTAAGGTGATCCGTGCGCCCAGACAACGCCTTGAAGTATCCCTTTCGCCCTCTGCTGGTTATTTCCAGGCTTTATTTTATTTTATTTTGATCGTTACTCCTCCAGTTTCCCGTCAGAAACCTTGGCTTCATTTTCCAAGTTGATCTCTTTTGGCTCCCTTTCCCTGTTCTGTTGACGTGCAATTGACAGCTTCTGCCCGGAATGCCAAGCATGTAACAATATCGCGAACAAATCCAAATCTCAAATCCCTCTCAAGTGTCCTTCTCGCTCAGCTCTAAGCTATTCTCATCTCATTGTCGAGACTGCAATGGCACTGGAGCTCTCTCCTTCTTCAACTTTTGCTCACCTAGCAAGTCTACTTGATTGTCATTCGGTCATCGTCATCATAACATTAGCTGCAGGTCCTGGCCAAGATACAAAATATTCCCACGCGCCTCCAGCCAACGCGCCTCCGGCCAGTCAATACTCCATCAAATGTCTTCCAGATGCAACTCAAACAACAATATTACCCGTGCTACTGGCCAGCACCGTCTCTTTGACCGAAGCTGGCCGTCGAACGTATCTGACGTCGTAGTCGCCTCAACACACACCAAAAAAAATGCTGGAAATCTGCTGTGGAGGGGGGGGGGGGGGGGGGGGGGGGGGGGGGGGGGGGGGTGCGCCGGGGGGGGGGGGGGGGGGTGGTGTGGGGGGGGGGGGGGGGGGGGGGGGGGGGCCCCCCCCCAAAGGATCACGCCGGGTCGTCGTT